AAATGGACCCAAGCAAGGGAGGGCTGGCAATGTTTGCCCTGGTGGCAAGAATAAATGTACGGACCTTTTTAAGACTAAAATAAACCATCGACCTTCCTAATCCCTCCCTTTTATAATCTTATAAAACACATAAAAATTTAGGACAAATAGGGAACAATAACACTATAGCATTTTCGATTTTTAATACCAGAAAAGTATATTTTCCAGTTTGGCTATTATGACTTTAAATGTTAAAGGGACACTATAGTCACCTGAACAACTTTAGCTTAATGAAGCAGTTTTGGTGTATAGAATATGCCCCTGCAGCCTCACTGCTCAATCCTCTGCCATTTAGGAGATAAATCCCTTTGTTTATGATCCCTAGTCACACCTCCCTGCATGTGACTTGCACAGCATTCCATAAACACTTCCTGTAAAGAGAGCCCTATTTAGGCTTTCTTTATTGCAAGTTCTGTTTAATTAAGATTTTCTTATCCCCTGCTATGTTAATAGCTTGCTAGACCCTGCAAGAGCCTCCTGTATGTGATTAAAGTTCAATTTAGAGATTGAGATACAATTATTTAAGGTAAATGACATCTGTTTGAAAGTGAAACCAGTTTGTTTTTTTCATGCAGGCTCTGTCAATCATAGCCAGGGGAGGTGTGGCTAGGGCTGCATAAACAGAAACAAAGTGATTTAACTCCTAAATGACAGTGAATTGAGCAGTGAAATTCCAGGGGAATGATCAATACACTAAACTGCTTTATTTAGGTAATTTAGGTGACTATAGTGTTCCTTTAAATTCCCATGTTATTCTCACTTTACTGAACAATCCTGTTAATGACATTCTCACACTGACAAACCAACACAACTCACTGATTTGGTTAGTAAACCCTAGATAGATGTGGGGGGAAATTAAATAAATGAAAACAAAAATGGTGTACCCACTGAGCTGGTAAGTTTAGTATTGCAAATATTAGGGAAAAGTAGAGGATTTTAAGAAATTCTCATGGCCTAAAATTTACAATTCTTTGGTCAATCCCCCACGATTGCCAGCGACTTTGTAAGATAAGAAGATATGGCAAAAAAACAACACATGATGCATCTCAATATCACATAGTGACATCAGTTCACTTCAGTGTGCCTGATCCAGTAACAATGGCTGACATCAGTAAGCCAAATAAGTAATTAGCATTTAGTGGAGTGCAACCAACGTTTGCTGTCTCTCTTTCTCTCTCTCACTCAGTAATTTGGATAGGAGGGTATGATGTTCAACCTCTTCCCACCATGTCCAAACCTGGGTTGTTTATGCTTTTTATATACCAGATTTCTTTATTTTAATTTTGGACTCCATTATTGAGTTACCTTCTGAATGTTTGTCCATGCCCTCATTTTGTTGTTGGCATCATGGGGGAGGTTTGGCTAACTTGGTGAAGTGCCCCCAAGCAGTACAAGTCAACAAAGTCCAAAGGAGGAGGGCGGGCGTACCGGAGGTGAGTGTTACGGTGGGGGGGAGGAGGGGGTGGAGGGCCAGGCAAGCAGTACAGATTCCCTTTAATAATCAGGGAAGTTTATCCTGATGATGTCTGTCACAATGGAATAAAGAGTGTTTCCTCACTACAGTCTGTTTTTTCACCAGTGTTTGAGACACAGAGATGGAGAAGAGTATACATTTGAAACGTGGTAGTTACTAAATTTTCAGTGCATGACATCATATAACTTAGTGGCCTCCATCAATCTGACGTGTGCAACACTAGGTAAAATTCACTGTCTGGAGCACTATCTCACCTAACTCTGTACCACTTACAAACATTCCCAAGGACACTATGCATCATCATTGTAATCTGACTGCCTGATCAGTAGCTGCAGTTTACCAAAAAATATCCCAATATCCCAGTCTAGTCCTGGAGAACATAGCTATTGCTGGCAATGAGACAACACCATGCTCAATTACTGGCTATTACCTCTTCCTTCCATACTGTGCCAAAAGAGAGCCTAGGACATCTTCTGCATCTGCATTCAATCAGCAGAAAAATTGTTCTGTTTGGCTGCAGCCCACAACTTCAATATGTTTGTGGCCACTGAGAGAAGTGCTCCCCCCTGCCATCCTTGCCAGCCCTCCTGTTGTGATAGTGATATAACATTTTGAATGTGAACATGCATTCTACAATGCTTATCATTGGAGTGATCATTGGGCAAGGCATCACAAGCTGGTCACTGATGGATAAGGAAAAAAGGGCACCGGGGAGTTATCACAGGATTTATTATCTTTTTTGAGTTTGATTGTGAAACAAGGTGATAGAAAGTAGGTCCTTAGAAGGCAAGAGTATGTGACAGCCTTGTGGTGGTGATATAAAGGAAAGAAATGGATACATGTTGCCATAAGCATGCACAGCACATTATATTAGGGTGTACATTAGTGTACCTGTAACATCTAAACTTTACTTTGAAAAAAAAAGAAAAAAAATTAGGTTTTGCACTGACCAGATGCATACAGATTTATTAGTTATTTTTTTTTCCTCCAAAACATGAGTAGCTTATCAAAACCACAAACAAATGCCAAGAGAGAGATCTAATCAGCGGACAGGAAACAGTATGTGGTTATTTAAATGTACATGGTGATTTCAGACAGTGCAGAAGTTTTTTTTGTTTTGTTTTGTTATATTCATTTGGGCTGATAAACACTGTAGCCAATTCTGCTGATCAACATTAGTGTTAGTTTGAGCACACATGTTATTTTTGTGTGTTCCTACATTAAGATGTGTTTAGGCACCCTCTTGTACACCCCATATGCACACTTACACTTGTTGCTCTCTTTCACATGGTGCTGTATATTAGGTGCACTGTATGAAAACACTGAGATACATTGAAAACCACACACATGTCCACACACTGAAAAGGCCCCAGTAGGTAAATCCACTGTCACGTCCCATTGGGCACCCAGTACTGGAGCACCCAGAGAGAACATTATGTGTATATTGAGGAGACATATTACAGAGATATACAGCAATCTGTACAGAGTATTACATTGTTTCAGAGTAATGTTCAACAATATTTTTCAACTCATCATTTTCTTACTATAGATATTTTTTTTTTTGTAAGTGCAATGGTGAGTCATTTTATTTATTATTTATGTGGCTGAAAATAAAATTTGTCTTTGAACAACTGTATAAATTAAATGCTTAAATGTGAAACCAGCTGTAACTACAATGTTAAAGGTACAGATACAGGCCAGTCAGTGCTAAAGAGGGACCGTCAGGGACGTTTCTGCCATGTATAGTATATGGCCAGTCCTAGATCTGTGGGTAAAGAATGGCCATTCTTTGTAATTTGAGGAATTTGGATTGCTATCAATATTCAACTTTTCTAATGTCAAACGCAGGTAGTGAATTTTCTGTCTTTTCCCTTTGGTAGTTTGGGTCCCAGAGCTGCTTATAAAATTCATGGTACTGATGGTCTAGATCAGGGGTAAGCAACCTTCGGCACTCTAGATTTTGCAGACTACATCCCCTATAATGCTCTTGCACCCATAAAGGTGGCAAAGCATCATGGGAGGTGTAGTCCAAAACATCTGGATTGTTGAAGGTTGCCTATGCCCGGCCTAGATATATTACTTTGGAGGACGCTCTTCTTTTGAGCATTCCCACTCTGTGCCCATGCCAGTAGGAAACATAGCAACAAGTGTGCATGTATCAAACTGTTAACTTGTAAACAAGAAATTCTCATGCATTGAACGTTAGTATCAATTTACCCGTAGTGAGCAAACATTGACTTTAAAATTACTACATGAAAAGTGGTGAATACAGTCACTGACAACCTGTAGCGTTCCAAATGAAATATGAGGTATTTACAGCAGTATATAAATATTTTGAAATTGAGGGTTGTCAGTGTGCCTTAAAGTATATAAGTGCTCATCCAATTTATTCCAAATTAGAGTCTGTACTTTGTTCTTCACACTAGTTGTGTACAAATGATCAATGATATATATTTATATTTATTATTATTTTATAAAGCACCAACAAATTGTACACAGTTGTATAATAACTGGACAAGCAAATAAATAAATTGCAACAAGACAAGCGGGGCAAACAGGAAGTGACGATGTGGGCACTGCTTAAACAAGCAAGATCCTAAGGAGAGTGTGGTAAAATGACACAAGAGAGACTCTCGACGGTTTGGGCACGCTCATGGTCATACATCAATGGGACGGTTTGGGCACGCTCATGGTCAAACATCAATGGAGAAATAGTGGACAAGCTCTTTGCATTTGTTCAGTAGTGCTGTATGTGGAGTTTGCACACAACTTAATCTATGTAATCTTCTGCAGAGCCTGTTGTGCTGGGCAAAACATGTGAATTAAAATAAAGTGAGTTAAAAAAAAAAAGTAAATAGCACAATCCATACCTAAACTTTAATTAGCTTTTTGATTGTGCAGAAATCTCCCAGGTTGCAATGCAGCACCAATATGGCTGTGCATGTTATAAAAAGGAAGTAGAAATGTCAAAAGTGAATACTTAATAATGCAATAGAAATACTAAAATAGTATGCACATTCTCTAAGTTCATGCAAACACACACCATAAACACACTGTATACATAAATAAAATACACCCAGTGTGTTGTGTGCCAGACATCCCTGCTCTAAAGAATAGCTGGAAATGATGGAGTTAGTAAATAATAGTCCATTCTCTGTATTACAGCCTGATGTACTGGGCCCCTTATCTTCTTCCTCTTATTCTTATTATTCCCATGAATATTTTATAGGAAACTCAGCAGACCAGTAACACTGTATCTGGCAGGCAGCTGAGTGCATTCCTAGCAGACCTTCCCTGCAGAGACATAGCAGTTCTCCTGTTGCCCCTGGTGCCTTTTACTCAATGCTGAACGTAACCAAACTCCAGCAGGGCTGAGCTCATTGTTTGACTTTGCAGGGAAAACTGAAACCTCTCTTTCCCTCCTCCTCCTCCTCCTTGGAAAAAAGGGGGAGAGTCTTGGCTATGAGAAAAGGATGTTAAAACATGGCGAACTTTTCCTGGGAAACTCTCAGTGAGGAACCGTTACTTTTCCTGCTCTAATAGTGGGAGCAGCTCATGAGAACACTGGGGGAGCCCCAGGCACAAAGTTCGATTTTTTTTTTAACCAAACAGCAGATTATCATGGACCTTATTGTCTGCTGTGGACCCACTGTGTAAAGAACAATGGAACAACAGGCTGTAAAACGAAAAGAAAGGGTAAGTGTTATATCTACTTTTGTTGACTTTGTTATTTAACGCCTGAAGTGCTGGGGGTAATGGAAGTAAGACTAGATTTACACTCAGCAATGTTAGAAGTGTGTGCAGCCCAGGCTGGCTCTTGGAAGACTTGTGAATAGACATATTAAATAAGAACGTTTTGTTGCACTACATATGGGGGATTCCTATACCTTTGTATATAGGCTGAGCCCCCCACAACTACCTCACCTCAAACTTTCACTTGAAACAATAAAGCCTCAATACATAATCATTTTTTCCTAAAGCCTCCTTGGAGTCTTGTGGTCAGTGGTTATTGCCGGAGGTCAGGCCATCAGGCCACATAGGTCTGCTTTGATAACTGCATGCTTTTTAGAGACTGATCCTTCTGGCCTGCATGTTATCAAGCAGAGGGGGGAGGACGCCTCATTGTGAGTTTAGGTGGTGGTCTGGTAAGTTTAAGTGCTGCAGGCAGAAGCATGGAGCTGCTAATACCAAGCACAGTTATGACAGGGAAATAACACAGCAGCCTTAGTTATGTCTGGGATTGTCCTGGGACCTGTTAGTGCACAGCCAAGGTCAGTGGCTGGGGATAGCACAGAAAGGTGTGATGTGGGAGGGGTTTGAAAGGATGGGTAGTGTGGAAGTTGGGACAATTAGGCAGATGACAGGAAAGAGGATATTTTTACATTGTGAGGAGGTGAGGTGTCACAGAGAGTGCACACTGAGACCCAATTAAAGGGACATTAGTATAGATAGAAAGCTGCATGTGGGCTGTTTGTGAACATATTGTTGCAGTCCTGCAGGAAATCTGGGTTCTGTCCATTATATTTTTAATTTTCTACAATAGAATGGTTGATGGATGGATGGATGCTGGATATATTAAGATTTACTTTGAAGAGGGAGCAGCTACTTTGTGGGCAATTTTACAGACTTTTCTAACAGTAAATACAGCACAAAAGTTCACCATAAACCAAAGAATAATAATCATCATATAAATGTATTTAAAGAAACACTTCAAGAACCAAAACCATACAGCGCACTGAAGTGGTTATGGTTCCTTTAGTGCTGTGTTACTCCCCCCACCCCCATTATAAACAGTTTGACTTCTTAACTGGGGTCTGCCAGGGGTCAGTTCTTGCTTCCTCTGCTTAAAAGATTCAGTTAGCTGAGCAAAGCCTGGCCCTCCTGCACATCAACTCTTACCACTCTCAGCCAGAAAGCGAAGCCCTGCACAGCTGGTCTTAGATCAGGCAGAAAGTTTAGAGCTCCTGGCTGAGGTAGTGGAAGTGGGAGCAGCACCTTGCAGGCCCCGGTAAGAAGTCAAACCATTCTAAAAAGGCATGATTCCTTAGGAAAGAAGGCAACAGGGCATTTCTGGCACCATAAACACTATAGCACACTGTATAGATTATGGTGGTTGGGGTGTTCCTTCAATAATATAGAGTATATTTGAAATGTAATACATTGAATTTTCATGTATGATCTTGTGAACTGATGTTATTATAATCAAACTGAGTGCATCTGAAACAAATTAAACACAAACTAAATCCAAATAGCCCATGGATTGCTAATAAATTAGAGAGACGCAGGAGGCTGGTGTTGACCATCCCATTTTTATAATGCATTATGCAAATAATGGATTAAAAATCCAAAATAATTAAAAAGAATGGTCCTCCTTTGCAGAATTTCTTACTTGAAACTTCACTCTTCATCAGCAATAAGGCTTTTTGTGTACATTTTAACCAGTCATTGCTTTTCTGTACAAGTCTATAGGTGTAACTGGGATGTCATAAAACGGGACACGTGGTGTCAGTGACATGGTGGCCATTTCATTAAAACCAAGCCTGTGCAAACTACAATTGCATGGCTATAACATAATACAAAGATCTGTTTTTTTTCCGTGAAAGCAATACTAGTGCCACTGTGCCTACAAATGCAGCTGTATTTGCAACTACCAAATGAACCAGGATACTTCAGAAAGAGGGTCTGATATATATCTTGTAATGTATTTACTTATTAATGGCCATTGGACAGGACATCACTAACACTCCTAATGTGGGTTTGGGTATGGTATTATTAATTTGGGATGTACTAGGCATACCCTGGCACTGTTCTCAATCATATAGTTGTCACTTTTTGTAATGTGGAATTTGGCCACTTTTTCACCAAAGTACTCTGCATTACATAGCCAGGGTTTATACAAATTGGGTAGGGCCGTATTCTTTAACTGGATTGTAAACACGTATGTTGTAATGTATTTACAGTCAACTGCCACATAGTGAAGCGATGGGCTTTTTTCTAGTTACTTGGCTTTGCTGAGCGTATTCTGCAGGTTCCTAGTGGTCCGTGATATCCATGGGCTGAGGCAGTCTGGGATGGTCAAAGGATCTCCCTAGCCTGCCATGCAGGGCCAATGATACTGTGAGCCAGCCCAAAGAGGGTTCTCGAATACTCCATGGGTTAGTGGTAGATCATAAATCTCCCAGACTGGTCTAGCCCCAGAGAGCAGGAGGCCTGCACAACCAGCGGGTGCAGACCACTTGTTATTCTCCATGAGCTCTGGCAGCTGTGAATGTATCAATATAATGCCACTGATGCTGAAGCTTGCAAAGGCAATACAGATGATCTGCACTTACCAGAGGTACAAACATGCCCCCTATGCATACAATCTCATGAGTAGTTACCATATATATAAACAAGATGACAAGCAGACTCTCTACACATACACACAACACCAAAAACAACCTTTATACACACGCAACATCGTAAGCAGACTATGCTCAAATATACAATACCACAAGTATTCTCCAAGTATATACTACATCACTGACAGACTCATGCATAATGCCTTCTCCCATTCCCTTTGCACACCTATTACACTTCTAACAGCCACCTCCACACACACAAAAACTACACCACAAATATCTCATTCTTCAGGCACAATTAGTGTTGTACTCAGGTGCATGCAGGATTGAAGATGGCGGTACCTGTGGGGGACTTCATCAGGTAAGTATTACTCGACCTGCACTTCCAGGCCTCAGCGACAATGTCACCATTAGGGGTTTTTACAAAACATGCAGAGACTTCAGAGGGTGACAAACTCTTTAAATAACCACTTCACAATGCCTGTGAAGAAACACATCTCTTAAAAAATTACCACTTTATAGACCATGAAGTTAGAGGGATACAGGTTGTAGTGGCCCATAATCTCTAAAACACGACAACCTTAGAATAGAACTGTCAATATGTCGTGATTCACATGTGAATTTTTGTGTTTTTTTTATTGTGACCACCTGCAAAAAAATGTAAACAAATGCCATTCTCTGTTATGCTGAATGTAGAGATATGCCAGTTGAAGTCTTCAAAGGATGTGCAGAGAAGCAACAACTGGCCAATTTCAAGGGATCACCACCTCAGTCACCCTGACCAAGCTGCTAAATAATTATCAATGTCTTCTTAAATTTGCAAATGTACCTTTATTACAGCTACTTCTTACATCTGCAAAATGACTCTGATCTTTATTTAATAGTTGCCAATGGTAGTATTAGAATATGTAAGAATGAATTTCACAAATCCATGCATCTATCCCAAGCCAGCAATGCAGGTCGAGTTTGCTTCTATAATGGTGTGGGTTTTCACAAATTATTATTTTAGGTCACTTTGTTAAATTATGTATTATAAGAATGCTACAGTATGCCTAACTGTTGCTCACCATGTTGTTTTATGACCAGTCTACCCATATATATATATATATATATATAGATATTTTTAACCAAATAATGTAATATGTAACAAAATGCATATCAATTAATCTGCTTCCATCTGTTAGCGCTTTGTAAATAATAATAACAATAATAATTAACATGGCAGTAGCTTACATATGGGATGATGTGGAAGGAGAGAGTGGTGTGCACTAAGTTAATTTGGGCCCAAATCTCTTAACAGTGCCTTTTTCAGCATATAAAGAACTCAAGCAGTTCTGTACAGGTAGAAAGTCCTAGATAGTTGTTACAAATAAAGTGGTCACTCAGTGTATATTTATACATAATATAAAGTGCTTTAATGCTATGGATGTAAAAATAATTGGTGAGTGAACTTTTGAAATTTGCAGAAACATAGAAAATATACTTTGGAGTTCTGTTTTTGAGTTAGTGGGTTTGTTATGATTGATCTCTAATAAATCGTTTAATTTTAATTGAAACATGCAATTTTAGTTCTAGTTATAAACAATAATAATAATAGTTGTCCTTGATTAATACAGTCTGAGAACAAAGCAAGCCCTCCTTACCTGATTCAGGATGATTGCACTGTAATTGAATGTCATGCCTGTACTGGGAGACATACAGGAAATATTTAATGTAAACATTGTAGAATGTCTAATATATAAAATACATAAAGATAAACACGGTGCTCACTATTATGAGATCCCTTAATCTTTGTACTGACTCACTAGTATATATTTTAGTGACATGACCTTAAATCTATGTTTAATAAAATATACATTTCTATAGTCGAATTAAAGCACAGGGCTATTCACATTATGTCTCACAGCATTTGTATTTACAGTGACTGATGTCTGATGAAATGTGTACAAACTGTACGTAGAGCCTACCTTTAGACCTTTCCCTGCTATTTGGGCATGTGCAGTACTGCACATAAATCTAAATCATTTATATGAGCAGTTTTTGTTTGTTTGCTTATGGTTTTTAAAGTTTTTGGAATTCAGTGAAAGGTAACAAAACGTTCTAGTTTAAAAACAAAACAAAACATGTTAGCAGTTGGTATGTCCAAATCTTAGAATGCAAAACTGAACCACATTTGAAAAAGAAAAATGCTGATTAGCAGTATTAGACACCATACCACTCATTTATATAGTACCTGCCACATTCCACAGTGCATTACAATTACATGATATAATATGATGTAGTCTCTAAACTAAAGTTCAAGCACCATCACCACTGCAGCCCACAATAGTGGTTATGGTGATAGGAGCTGGTGCTGTACCAGTAGGTCCGACAACATACCTAGGTCAGGTCAGATGCCCGTGGTAGCAGCCTTTACATGTGGATTCTCCTTGTAAAAGAATCTGGTTAGCTCCACTGAGCTATGCTGGGCAGCACTCATTGGCTGACTAGACTAAAAGATTTTTATTGATACAAATTTAATATAAATTTCATTAACGTGACTATTTTCAAGTAACTTTTTTTTTTTTTCGGCTTTAACATCCATGGCAGAAGATCAGAGCATTATGGTGGCAGCCCATATAAATAAGTTATTAAATTTTAAGGATGTCTTTCAGCTAAAACATGAACACACTATAATCACAGTGTGTTCAGCATAAAGGAACACATAATTAACATAGATTTATATTTTATTGAGAATTGTGATGGTAATATATCAAACAAAACTAAATATCTATTTTTTTAACAGCAGGAGCAGAAGTGCTGTCCTTCCTGCAAGTTTATTTGTTAGCCAGTTATTGCACTAAAAACATCTGACGTGTGTATTTGTTTGTGTACTGAATGCAAGCTCAACTTAGCAACATAAACATCAATTAATGGTTATCAAGACTTTACAATGGACACAATAGGAAGACAAATTAATGATATTAAAGGTGTACATGTTTCATCACATCAAATGCTGTTTACTCACTCCTCACCCCTATATTTATTTTTCTTCTGTGACTTTTTCTATATTCCAGACTTTTTCTATGCCATGTCTCATTGAACTTTAGGTGTTATCTTAAGTTCATAACTACATGTGTGTATATATGTTGTTTACTTTACACTGCAATACAAAATTAAATATATTCAAATAAACTCCTTTTATTCCTATGTTGGTTGTCGTATTTGTGAGTAACAGATTTTTCGGCCAGATTTGTGATCAGTCCCACTGCCTTACTCTAAGAAGCATGTAAGTGTATGGCTTTTAAAGTATACGGCTGCATGATAGGTAGATGGAGGTAAGGAAGACCCAGGGCACATTTGACGCCATAATTACAACTTACATCGCTAAGTACTTGCACAACTATTGCCACTTAACAGAATACTTTAAACCTGGCTCTAAGCGCACTAATTTAGGCCATATGTACCTGCCACTTTGCACTGAGGAATAGTTAAAATTCTTTTGCCCTTTGTCTTTTGTACTTTTGTATGTAGAGGACAGCCATTCAAAGGAAGGTACATTAATGTAACTTGTTCATCAATTAAATTAGATAGATTGGCTTGATTGTATTGTAAATTGAAATTGAATACATTAGGATGATCTCATTCTCTCTTCAATGTGGCGGACCGCTTGGAATTAGTGGGATTCTAAATACAAGTGACATATTTTGTCAAAAGAACAATGCGATTGTTTCATTATTCTTGGTAACTAAAGATTATATGTAATCTAATCTGTTTGTGGATTATTTTGTCATTTATTTATATATGTAAAGAGATAATCAGATGTTGCAAAATGCTTATCTGTTATAGTGTAGCTCCTAAACTACATAAAATACCTCCGCTGTAGCTTGTACAAAATAGTGTACAAAGCACTTATGAACAATGTGCCTCCTGTCTTACATTTGCTCCATAGGAGCCACCTTCTCTAAAGCAAAACTTTTTTTTAATACAAGTCTTTCATCAAGTTTTGAAAGGAAATATATATATTTTTAAAATATTTAAAAAATGTAATAATAGAAAGCTCCTTCCAACCTTTAGTATATGACATAATCCTTTAGCCATATACATACACCTTGGCCAGATGGTGTTTGAAAACAAAGAGTTAGTCTCTTCCTCCCTACTCAGAAACAGAGAAGACCATAGAGACTGTTAGCTTTCAACAATTGTATATGCTAGAAGGATCCTATCAAATGCTAAAGGTAGGGGATATATTTTTCTCATTTTTGTAATGTATGCTTTGTTTTAAAAAACAAATACAAAAAATGATACCGCACCCCACATAATGCAAAAAAATACAAATTTATTGAAAATATGCATTTTTTTAGCAGAGCATTGCCATATGTCTGGATATTTCTGGAATACCTGTATATCTGGAGAGTGAAGATATAGAGACCCTAAAGTGACAAGTGCCTACCAAAGTGCTAAATATGTGCATAAAGTGCCAATATAAAAAGTCTATCTAACTTTATCAACGTTCTGATGTGTGTGTGTATATATATATATATATATATATATATATATATATATATATATACACACACAACCACCATATATATATATATATATATATATATATACACAATCACATCAATCCCAAAACAATGGGTAAATATGTACACGGATTTTGTTCTAGTCAATGCTAAATCCTGCAAGGTAATAATCTCTATTTGGATATATTTGGATATTTTATGTTTTGGTCTATGGAGGTGGCCAAGTGCTTACAAGCTTTGTATTTTTCATTATAAAAACATCTATTTCATTTCCAAACTTGATGAAAACATTAATATACTAAAATATAGTTTTAATGTGAAATATTTCCTTTAAGTCCTCTTTATTCAGAAACTGCAAATAACTGACACATATCATGCAGGTAACTAAGAGTGCACATTCTGAAGTCATACAGAAGCAACAATTTTTCCAAATATACAATCTGACCTGATTTCAGGTGCAAATTGTGATTTCAAAACTAGTTGCTTCTGACCAAAGAGGGCAATTCCTATGGAGCAAGGGTAAGCCAGGACATTCACTGAAATTAAGTATCTATTTTGATGTATGTTTCCTAAAATAATACATGTATACAGTATATTACATGTAATGTTTTATATTCAAAAATGATAAAAATGATGAAAGTTTTCCTTTCAGTGTCAGCTTTACCAAACTTTCTAATTTTCATCTTATTTTAGAAATGACATTACTAGATATTACGTAATCACAAAGTACATTTTCTATGTTTTTAGATTGCTACCTAGTCGGAGTAGATCTTTTTGAAGATTAGTAACATGTAATTCCTGAGTGATCTGCCTTGTCTATTTCTTCTTAATGTACCTGAATAAGTCCAATGCTTGATGTGTAGTGTGTATTATGTCGAGCTATTAGTCCCTAGATTGTTTCCTTTCGTACGTTTCTTGGCATGTCTCAGTTGTTTCATCTGTCCATTAGTCTTGTTTTACTTTTATTTACTCACATTGATTGGCACGTGAGTGGCTAACCTTTATTTTCAAGTCTCTGTTTGTAGTATAGATTTTTATTTTGTCTAGAGGGAGAGCTTGACATTTTTTTTCTTTAACCCTATATCACAAAAATGTCAGTGCTTGAGTGGGTGGGGAGGGGGAGAGTTGCATTAAATGATCACTCAGACTATATATACAGTGTGTGTGTATGTGTATGTGTATATGTATGTATATATATATATATAAATATATATACTTATATAATAGACCTGTGCACAAATCATCTGCATTGAACAAGCCAAATGCCTGTTAATCAATTGACAAATTGTAACTAAATCACAATTATTTTTGCCCACGTTAGGAGGTTTTTTAAAAAAACTATTCCTTTCTGTGAGCTTTGAAATTGCTGTAGGTCAAGCACGTCAAACTCAAAGGCTAGCCGAATAAACAAGGTTTAAGTTTATGTGGGCCACAAAAAAACAAAAACTTAAATTTTCATTGAAACGTAGGTTTATCTACTAAACCAAAGCCCCCCCTCGTCTACTAAACCGCAGCCCCCCCCTTGTCTACTAAATCCCAGTCCCCCCTTGTCTACTAAATCCTAGCCTGCCTTCGTCTACTAAATCCCAGTTTCCCCTCCGTCTACTAAATCTTAGTCCCCCCTCGTCTACTAAATATCAGTCCCTACGTCTACTAAACACCTGCCCCTGTTTTAAAAAAACAACAACCAACAAGCAGTCTCTGGAGTTTGGCCATGGTATACCCCCAATGGCCCCATCTGCACCTTTAAAAAAGTGGATCCTCCCACTACTCCTTGAAACCCTCACACACACTCACTGACATTCACACAGAATCACTCTGACACACACATACACTCACAGACACACACATTCACTGACAGGCACACACTGACAGACACACAGTCTCCCTCACAGACTCCCTCACTCACAGAAACACACACTCACTCAGACACACAGGCTCCCTCACAGACACACACTGACATACGCACACTCAGTCACACAAACAGACACACACAAAAACAGACAGACACACACACCCAAAGCCATGCACACAGACAGCTATACACACAGACTCACAGACAGCCATTCAGCCATACAGACAGCCATGGACACAGAGAGCCATACAAACAGCCATGCACACAGACAGCCATTCAGCCATACTGACAGCCATACAAACAGCAATGCACACAGACAGCCATACATACAGACATCCATTCAACCAGACATACACACACACACACACACAGCCATACACACACACACACACACACACACACACACAGACAGCCATACACACACACAGCCATGCAGACAGACTGCCATACACACACAGCCATGGGCACAGACAGCCATGCACACAGACAACCATACACACACACACCCATGCACACACATGCAAACATACATCTCCCCCCCAACACTCATTTAAAAAAAAAAATTAAATCCACTCAGCCTCCCTACCTTAGGGAGAGCTGGGTGGATTTCTTACCTGGGGTCTAGTGGGACTGCTGGGCAGGCGGGTGTGCAGGCTGGGGGCGGACAGATGGCGAGGGTGCAAGCTTTACCTGCTCAGCTCCCACGCGCGCCGCAGAGTGATGCCGGGAGCCGGAGTGACGTCATATTCCAGCTCCCAGCATCACTGAGGGGAGTAGAGTAGGGCTGCGAGTTTGACATTCATGCTGTAGGTAAAAGACTGAGAGCACTGGAACATGTGTATTGTATTTAATATATGTCGTGGTACTGGAATCAAACAATTAAAATGGAATCTATTGGCATATTTACCATATACATGGTAAATCCTTACGTACACCAGTATTAAACTTTGTGGCCTAAAATGCAAAAAATAAAATGAAATGTGTGGCGCTAAACTCTATTTATCACAACGAGACTCCATTTATCACAAGAACACCATCCCAATGATGATTCATGTTAATAGTATAATCAAGTGGGATGCTTTTAATATGCAGGGACTGGGCAGCTGGTCAGAACTGAAAGTAAGATAGATGGAGGCAAATACAGAGCAATTCTAAAATTAAGCCTAATAGTTCATTCTGCATACGATTTGAGATTGGGATGGAGCTTTACCTCATAAGAGGATATTGACCCTAAACACTGTTGTTGCAAACTAATAATTTAGATTTCTTAGAATGACTCGGAGATTATACCTAAATCTGAGAATCTGTGGAAAGGTCCCCAACCAACCTGAAAGAATCTGAGCAACTTTCTCAGGAGGATATGTTTTAGGATTCAGATGTGCAAAACTGGTAAAGACTTACCCCAAAAGACCCTTAATTGCAGTCATACATGGTTCTATCAAGTTTGCCAGTGCATACCAATAAATCGGTCAAAGTGGGACAAAACGTTTCTACATTTCCATCTCTTTCTGCTCCTTGACATTGTTTCATCTGAATTAAAGTAGTAAAAGTAATTCCCCATGACGCTATCCATGCAAACACATGTAAGGCATTATTCTAGTGATGCTTTGTGCAAGCATCATGATATATCAGGAGATTACATTGACTGTCAAACTAAGCAGAGACAGTCTTGAACATAATGTAAATTTTAATATATTTGTTGGGTGTTTTGTGCCCTTGTTGTATGTAACGGCACCCCCAGGCATAAAAGGGTTAAACCGCCGTTTAGTAGATCTTCCCTTCCAGAGACACAGGCACAGCTACTGCAGAACACCAAACTCTCAAACTGAATACAAGGGAATGCTCCAAACTCCCAAACTGCATACAAGGGAATGCTCCAAACTCCCGAACTGCATACAAAGTAGCACTCCAAACTCCCGAACTGGAACCTCACAAATAGCTGCTAGCAGACGAACAGTAAAAGCACCCAAGTGGCTTACACTCCTGGCAATCAGTCTCTAACAGCATACAGTAAATACCCCCAAAGACAAGACAGAGCTCCGTGTTGAGGGTCAAGCAGTGGTCTGGTTTATTGAGGGCTACCTGCCCAGTATTTATGCAGGTCTCCCACCTGGTGGACACTCCCCTAGGAGACCAGATGGGAGACTGTAACACAGACAGACATGTATCAAATTCAGACACACAGAAGTAAAACATCCCCACAATGCATCCTAATTTCCCTCCCTCTATCCTGGAGATAATTGGGAAGTAATCCAATTATCTCACAGGACAAAGGCAAAACTCCATTATATACGTGGGGACACAAAGACAGTAAAATACTTTAAAATATACAAAGTTACATTTTATACATAAAATACAGACATGTCACATATCCCCAGATAGCTGGATCTGAGCGCACATAACTACCGAATAGCGCTCAGACCCTATTCACACAGTTCAATTGCCATGGAGCCAAAGTCTTTAATTACACGAATAGGCTCCATGGCATAGCTATCTGGGTTAAAACATTCACTGAAGTAAAGTCCCGATCAATTCAGGGTTCGGCTAAACAGCCACGAATAGAAGCAGGGAAGGCTGGAGGCTCAGCGGTGCCTGCACGTAAAAGTCTCCGCTTTTAGTGCACTGATTCCAGGCTGAGCACCACTGGCCGTCTGGGGAGCTCCATAACACCGCCACCTAGCGGCCACTAAGTGTAACCGTGGCCTCCCAGTAACAGTCAACTAAGCTGCGGTTAACCGCAGCTACTGGGTGGTCAATTGACGGCACACGCTAGCTTCAGGGAGGTGAATTGAAGGCACACGCCAGCTTCCCTGTGGTCGCACCTTCGGTATTTTGTTCGGTAGATAAAATCTACCGAACACCCTGGCAGAAAGGCATGAATAAGCCTTTCTGCAGGGAAAATAAAGTATTTTAAAAGTCCGGTCCATAGTCTAAAGGGAGCAGACGGGCAGCCACGCTCCTCCAATGCAATGTGGCGAGATTGCTCTCGTCACATTGTATATTCCATATTAATGTGAAATCTGACGGGCTTTCTGTGTTTGGATACTACACATTTCACAAGATAATTGGTTCTGCCTTAGCCCACTGTTGCTGCTACATTGAGATTCATTTGTTGTGCCTGACATTGCTTAATTGTCTGCCAGAGAGATATTACATACTTGACAACTTTGTCAAGTATGAAGCCAGGGTCGAAGTAGAGTGTGTGGGTACATGCCAGTTATGCAATTCACATCACCAACAACATGCATACCTAGTCATAATGGAGGAATATCCACATGGTGTTCATGCGCACCACGATAACAGCAAGGATGCCAAGCAGGACATTCAATGCAAAGGCATATCTAGAGTATATGGAACCAACGGTGGAGTTGTCAGTTTCCAACCCTTTACCCCTAGAATTATTTATTTTTATCATCCCTAATTCTTTTTTATTAATTTTATTATTTCAAAATGTTCATATAGATAAAGCAGAGTATGTACATAGTTAGAGAGCAAAATACTTTAATAATACAGTGGCAGAATATTGCAATACTGTTACATGCCAAGGTATTCCAGGTGGGATTATTCTATAGGCTACTAGATCTTAACTGGGCAATAGTAAATCATTGGCAGAACAGTTAAACAAGCAATGTTACACAGAACAAAAGTGGTTACAGCAGGGCTTGACAAATCCCATGGATTTGTAAACCTGTTCAGCCTCCAAGATGACTGGCTGCCTGAGTGTGGAGGCAGGCAGTTGGCTCACAGAGGGCTGAGGCAGTCAGGTGGCTGACCGAGGGTGGGAGGCGGGCTGTCGGCTCATGGAGAGCTGAGGGAGTGAGGCGGGCGGCTCATGGAGAGCTGACGGAGGGAGGTGGGCAGATGGCTGACTAACTGCAACGGCAAGGGAGCTGTCCTCTCCCTGCCCTACTCCCTTGCGTGCTCTCCAGTGATCCTGACAGCCGGGTTATCAAGTCATAGCATCACTAAACAGCACTTTAGGGAACAGAGTAGGAAGATTATCAGAGCAGCCCCACTGGGTGCCAGGCAAAGCTAATATACTCTAGCTCTCCCAAATGTAAGGAGGCAGGGTTGATTAAAATAAAAATGTAACAGTAATAATTTGTGAGTGCGAGTGTTGCAGTATCAGTGTGTGTGTGTGTCAAATCAGTGAGTGTGTGTGTCTCAGTGAGTGTGTGCATGTCAGTGAGTGTGTCTGTGTCAGGGTACCTTATGTTTTGGCACAGGCTATGCCACACTCTAAAGACATCCCTCAGGAGGTTGGGAATCTATCCAGAAGTCCTTCTCATGTGTCCAGCAGTTCTCGTGCTGGCTGCGATTGCCCTGCCCCTTTTTATGACACAGTGTGTGAACGCTGACATCATGACGCTGATGACGTCACAGCCTGTCAAGACGCTCGAATTTAACCGTTTTTGGGGTATGGTGACAAATTAAAGGAACTCAGTATATAAGGGGAGTTCAGGACATCTCTCATTGCCCTGTTGTGGTTCTTATAGACCCAATAGCGCATTAAAGTTTTATATATTTCTCCTGGTTCTGACTTTGACTCAATTGACTACTCTACCTTCTGTAACCCTTTGACTCGGCTTTTGTACCCTCGCTGTTCTTAATTTCTAGCTCCTTTGACCTCTGCTTGTTCCTGATTGTGACATTAGTCTGGCCATTCTAAGGTCCGGTACAAGTTACTATTATTCTACACTCTGCATGTAGGATCCCTCTATATTCCTGACAGTCTGTTGGTGAGTGTGTGTCTCAGTGTGTGTGGCTGCCAGTGAGTATGTATGTTTAGGTGACCTGCCCCCCTTCAATCACATGGGAAAGGTGTTTTTCGTCAACTTTTTTCTCACATCGTACTGGTGACATCGCTTTTGACCCCACCTCTGTGGGCACCTGGCAAAACTGATCCACTCCAGCACTCCTAAAGGCAGGTTGCAGTATCAGTTTGTGTCTGTGTCAAATCAGTGAGTGTCTGTCAGAGAGTTCAAGTTGAGACTACCCCACCACTCAGTTGAGGAAGACTATTTGAGTCCTATTGACTATACACTTGTAGGGCTAGTTTGGCTTCCTGATAATTACCAAATTTCAATGCACAGGATAATATTTCCATTGTTTGTCATTAGTTGAGCCATACACACATACACATTGAGCCATACATACATACACATTCAGGTATGGCACCCTGTCAAGGTTTGGTGTAGCCTCATCAACGTATTGTTCCTGTAACATTTTGTAATTGTCTCGTTTATTGTAACATATGCCCCTTTTTATAATATTTTAAGCATTGTGAGTAAGTTGGCCAACATATAATATGCAATATCTAGGTGCACTGATATTTCGGCTACCAAATTACTACATTTTAACAGTACCTGAAAAAGTCTACACTGGGAAAAACAATATCCTTGATGTTTGAGCAGCAATAAATCAATGTGGAAAGGTAATGTGGACAGCTGTAAATAAGTTTGAAACATAACACAGACAATTCTAATTTAATGTGAAGCTTAAAAGGCAAACATAGGTTACTGAGACTTGGCCTTCCACCCTAAATAAATGTAAAAAACTGCAATAATCAGGGTTAATCCAGGAGGGTACATGAGGATGGCGGCATTGATTAGCAACTAATCTGTATTTCTTTAATCTTCTCTAAGTGTTTAACTTTGATTTTATATTACATTTTTATTCATATTGAGTCTGTCCATTTAAAAAAAAATCTAATCAACAGCAGTAGAATTACATTACAGAGGGTACTCTCCAAAGTCATTCTTAAGGGCCACTAATAACACAAAATCCTGTATCTGGCACGAGCTTGGCAAGGCATTTGCCTTGGGCAACACTGTCAGGGGGGCGACAAAAAAAGACACCCCCAAACAAATGCCCCAAATGCCTTGCCATCTTCTTGTCCTGGGGGGCCAGGAGCTGGCCACTTCAGGCCCCCCCCCCCCCCAAGGCTGGCATGCGCTGATGTAAGCGGGCGGCGAGGGAGCACTCTCCCCTGCTCAGCTCCCTCGCGCTCACCACAGTAATGCCAGAGCCGGAATATGACATCACTCCAGCCCCAGCATCAATGTGTTAGTGTGTGTGTGTGTGTTAGTGTGTGTATCTGTTAGTGAGTGTGCTAGTGTGTCTGTTAGTGAATGTGCTAATGTGTTTGTTAGTGGGTGTGTGTGTCTGTCAGTGAGTGTATGTGTGCCTGTCAGTGAGTGTGTATGTGTGCCTGTCAGTGAGTGTGTATATGTGTCTGTCAGTGAGCGTGTATATGTGTTTGTCAGTGAGCGTGCATGTGTGTCTGTCAGTGAGTGTGTATGTGTGTTTGCCAGTGAATGTGTATGTATCTGTCAGTGTGTGTGTATGTGTCACTGAGAGTGTTTTTCAGTATGTGTATGCGTGTCTGTCAGTGTATCTATGCGTGTCTATCAGTGAACGTGTATGTCTGTCAGCTAGTGTATGTGTGTCTGTCAGTGAATGTGTATGTCTGTCAGTAAGTGTGTATGTGTGTTTGTCAGTATATATCTGTCAGTAAGTATATGTGTGTCTCAGTGTGTGTGTGTCTGACACTGAGTGTGTATCTGTCAGTGTGTGTGTGTCTGTGAGTGAGTGTGCATGTGTGTCTTGTCAGTGAGTGTGTATGTGTCTTTCAGTGAATTTGTGTTTGCCATTGTGCATGTGTGTCTGTTGGTGAATGTGAGTGTGTGTGTAACTGTGAGTGTAACTGTAAATGAGTGTGTATGTCTGTGAATGTGTAAGTGAAAGTGTGTTGGTTAAAAAGTGTGTGTGGCAATGACTGTGTGTCTGTCAGTGAGTGTATGTCAGTGCATGCATCAGTGAGGGTGTGTGTCTGTTAGGAAGAGGAATTTGGAAGGGGGTAGGTGGGTGCCAAGTTTTGTGATGCCTAGAGCAGCACAAAACCAGAATAAACCACTAACACATATAATTAATGTGGGTCTTCCGATATTCAATTTTACCTTTTCATATAACATGTAATTTACCCCGCTCACTTGCATAAGGAAGAGACAAAAAAGTTGACTTGCTCAGTGACACTGGATCACCGTTGAAAACCTGTTAAAGTTTCAGCAAATCTGTTAGATTGACCTCATGAAACCCAATACCTTAATGACAGTTTAGGAATACAATTTGGCTTTTACAGTAATGATAAAACTATTTTTAATTTTCTCAGAAACCTTTGCTGATTAGCAGTAGACTCATACTTTTTTTTTTTTCAACCAATTAAATTTGAACCAGTTTTTTTTAACCAATTGAATATTGTGCACTAAATCACATGATATAGTGCATAATAAATGAGAAACTTGTGTGACAGCACTTGTAGTTGTTTTTGTGTACGCTGGCAAGGCAGGCTTTTCTTAGCAAGCTATTGAATTAGGTGCATAGTGTGGAGCTTTTCACGCTTCTTATTCAGCCTGAGGCCTTTGTAATTGTTTCCCAATCGAATTTTCTCCAGCTTTGAGAACATTTAGAAAGCACATTTTATATTGGATTGTAACAGTGTATGATTTCCAAGCAATATAGCATAGTTCAATAATAATATTAAAAAAAAGGAATAGAAAAATCTGTTATCATGGCGATTGTCATGGTGTTTCACTCTCTGTAAACATTACTATAGAATCACACTTTGCATTTGAACTTGTATTTGTTTGTACAGTGTATCACATCACAACATGTCCGTGAATTTGCCATTTATTGTTGTTGCTTGTTGATATATGTCTATGTATATAAAAAGCTTGTTCCTTTTCTGTTGTACATTGCTTACATGATGTAATTTTGATATAATTATCATTAATAATGATTAATGTTAATAATAAAGCACAAACATATTCTGTAGCACACACCCATCCACAGGTGCACAGGGATTTAGAAGTTTAATAAATCTAAGTGTATTTAGACAGTTTTTGTAAAAACAAAGTGTACTGAAACACAGATGTAAAAATTTTGTATACATGACATGCTTATATCTTACATCATATCCCTTGTGTGTTATTTATTGTATGGACACTTTGTTATTAACAGTCCATTCTTTCGTTTTGTATACAAGCTGTTCTATAAAAGGACCGTGTAACTTTTATCAGACAATTTACGGTTGTTTTGTCTTCAATTATTTTATGGTCTTAGATTGAGTCATGGATCATGTGACTGATGGTTACTGATATTGATCAGCTTGGCATAAAAAACGGGTGCAACAGCCACAGGGAGTGCCAACCACTTTATGACCCGCACTGACCCTTGGTTTATCCCTTTTTATATGTTGACATTGGATAAACTCACAGCTTTATGTCTGACATTACTGAAGGCATAATAAATATTGCAGATGTTTAAATATTAAAAGATTTGGTAGGAATGCAGAATTGACTTTTCTGACTCAAAGAGTTTAAAATGTAATAGGATTTTAAAGAATTCAGATTTACCACCTATAAAGGACATAGTTGACATGTAGCGGTAATCCTGTGGATATTAATAAAGATAAAATGGTATTTGTTAGCTTTCTTCGTGTTCATAGTCATAGTATATGGTGCCAGATTTTGTCCTTATTAAAAAAAAACAGGCTAGAAATATGGTTGAAGAATACTATCATTAAAACTCTTTTCTCATACCACAAATGCTGAACATTTGTGGTTGGGCAAAAAAATGATTGCTACCTAATAATTATTACATCTTTACTGTATGGAACAATTCTTCAACACCACTGGATAGACAAAAATCAATGCCAATATTTATGAATTCTCAGCCGTTAAGCATAGTGTTAAATATTGACAACCTTGTATCAGTGTGTAACCCCCCTTGTAAATATACGTGGTCGCTGTACATATGTTTTTGAAAATGTTTTTTATTCTGTTAGTGAGAGTTTTTTTCTAAGAGTGTTGTTTTCTCAGTGTTGGATTTCTCACTTATTTGGTGTTATATTCATGCTGTATTTGTCTCACTGTTTAAAGGTACACTATAGTCACCAGAACAACTACAGCTATTGTATTTGTTCTGGTGAGTATAATCATTCCCGGCAGGCTTTTTGCTGTAAACACTGTCTTTTCAGAGAAAATGCAGTGTTTACATTACAACCTAGTGATACCTCCATTAACCACTCCTCAGATGGCTACTAAAGATGCTTCCTGGAGCAGTGCTGGGCACTGTGCAGCACTGACAGTCAGTTTCTCCACCTTCTGCATAAGGGCACATAACTTTCGTCATAGAGATGCATTGATGGCTGATTCAATGCATCTCTATGAGGAGGTGCTGATTGGCCATGGCTGTGTTTGACTTGTGCTGGCTCTGCCCCTGATCTGCCTCCTTGACAGTCTCAGCCAGTCCAATGGGAAAGCAATGTGATTGGCTGAAAGAATCACTTCTGATGATGTCAGCCAAGCAGGCAGTTCGGGGGCAGAGCCAGCAGCAACAGACTGGAATAAAGGTATGATTTTTAATATATTTAAGGGGGGAGGGGGCATGGGGGCTAGATGGTGGTTTTAACACTGTAGGGTCAGGAATACATGTTTGTGTTCCTGACCCTATAGTGTTTCTTTAATTACTTTTGCTTAATGAAAAAAGTCTTCTTGATCTGCCCCATATCCAATCACTGTCCTCTGTGTCTCTGTATAGTATTTAAAAGTCATGGTAAGGAGGGCAGTGATTGGCTGTGTGGTGGAGTTATGCCAAGAGTGTGACGGAGCTCCCTGTACCCCGGCTGGGTACCTTCGCCAAGGACCGCTTCCTAGATGGAACAGGAGACAAACCTCAGCACTCCTACTCCCAGTCGCCGTGACTTGACACGGGTCCTGGAACCACTCCGTCCTGGAGCAGAATGGGGAACTCACTCTATCCATTCCCAGGCACTGGATGATATTCAGTCCTGGGAGCTCTAGTTCTTACAAGGACTTTCCCTGTTGAATCCTCCACACTGGAACAAGCTGGAGTAGTTATTAGCCCTTTCCCCTCCCAGTACAAAACTGTACAAAACTCAATTATCTCCAGGCACAAAAAAACACTCAATTCAAACTCACCCCAAAAGTTTTTTAACTACATAAAAACCCCACAAAAGTTATATCTCCCGATAGCCCCGATCAGGGTGACCAACATATCCAAAAATCACCCAGATCGTTTCAAGGGTTCGGGATTTCCATGGAAGTCATAATTTGACTAACCGCACACAAGGCTCCTGCCCAAAATACTTCCAGGGAAAAAGTGGTAGCGGTCAGTCAAGTTTGGTAGTTTAAAAGAGAACAAACTACTGAAGAGAATCCATTGCCATACCATGGAGCTTGTTCCATTTATCCAGAGGAACGATCCCACTGAACAGTGTTCTTCTAAGTTATATAAAACCAAATGCAGACAATCATGGATGTCCAGCAGTGTTCGGGAGTTTCAATGTCCGTTTTTAGTTCCATGAACTCAACGACCGAACATCACTGCCTGCTTTCATGCGAGCAAGATGGCCGCCACCACGTGTTCGTGCATACGAAAGGCGGCGACCGAGACAAACCATTAGAACTCTGTGATTAGGATCGTTACAATGTATCCATTAGGCTTAATAGGCTCCCGGATGGTCCATAGTTCGTGCAACGGTTCGGTTATTGAACAGCATAGGAGAATCACACGAACTAAGCCAGTTAAATAGTCTTTTACAGGTTTCCCTACAGGGCCCATAGTCTAGGCAAGCTGATAAGCAGGCTCCTCCAGGAGCCTGTGGCAAACTCACGTGGGAAGGGGAGTTTGTCACAAAGAGCTCAGCTCACACTAATCTTTTACTGGCTGAGCTCAGATTATACATTGCGCACTACCTTTCTGGAAGACATTTTATATAAATAGGTGTCGTGAGGGAGGGGTTATGGTGCAAAAACTAAAGAGATTTGAATATGGAGAAAAATACTGCTTGGATATGTGGCAAAAATCCTTGAAATGCATGGTTGTGTTAATGCCTCGGCCCTCGAGTGTCCCTTTAAGTGTTCAGGGCTTATACATATTCATTAGTTACATTCTGTTAGAAATTATTCTGGTTCTCTATAATTTAGATGTAAAACACTCTCTAGATAGATGGATACCTATAGATTATTGCTGTCATTATCAAAGAATGATTGATATCATTTATATTAAAAATATATAACAATTGTCTCATGTAGGTACACTGCAAGCTGCTTAAATGCATATTACATATTAATTTGTCTCTTAAAAGTTCTCAAGTTTATGAAAATAAAAATATTTATAAATATGCAATGATAAAGGTAAAATATGCTTAATTTACTCAATCTTCAGAATCAGAAATTAAGCTCATACCCCCCACGTGAACCTTTTAAGGATATAAAGTATTCTGGGTATAAGTTTAAAGTGAACATGAGCTTTAGAGGGGCGGGGCCTGACCGCTAAAATGTGCAGCTCCTGCTCTCCGGCACAGAAAAAGTGAATTCCTACTGTTCAAACGGGACCAAATCGGCAGAAGGTGACAAGGAGGGGCACACAATGATGCCATACAAGCAACCCTTTCAGCAAAACTCGCCTGCTCTGCCTGCGGGGCCTACACGCATGGTCGGCATGAGGGAGATGGCTGCTCCCTTGACATCCATGGCTGCAAAGCAGGGAGACCGGACCCCCATTCCCCCCCTCTGGACCGGTGGGGGATATCCCGGTCCGCCCTAGGGAGACCCTGGTACAACCCGGCAAACACGCTGAGGCGACACAGGGGCCTGAAATAAGCAGTGAAACTGCACCTAAAATGGCAGAGGCAAGGTGCTCCTCCAGCACCAGCAACGAGCATTCGGAGGTGGAGCTCTGGCTGGACAAAGCCTTTCAAGTCCTCTGGGAGAAGCTCGAGGCTCTTATGTTCTCAACAACCTCAGAGAAATCGCCTCTAACCCGACCGCGCACTCGCCCAAGCGTATCCCAACGGAAGACCACACAGACACCTCTGGCACCGAGCCGCCCAAAAAGAAGAAACCAGCAGGACACTATTAAAAAGCAGGTGACCGGAGACCCATCAGGCGGCAACAGGAGCAAGGCGACAGCCACATCGAACAGGCAAGTAATCGTGCGGACACACATCAGCCCACCAACCTGATATTGAGGGTCCATCACCAAGCGGCCTGAACTACCCGATCCACCACCCGCCGGCGCAAGTCTATACACTGCCCACACAAGGAATAGGATGATCGGAAACATAGGAGAGAGACTTATCCTAGTATGACAGCGCTACCTGCTACCCACAAACGAATCAGACACTCACTCTATCAAGCAGCTCACTCCTAGGAAACTGACTCTCGATGGCAGGACTGTCATACCCCACCGAACGCCAAAGCCCAGTTCTACCCCTCACCACACAACTTTCAGGGGCCCCCTGGGGCATACCACACCAATTGCCCTAGCTTAATGATTAAACCAGCCCACATACGCTAAGCGGTGAAACTAACGATTTTGCCTAACACATAATTGTGCATGTATTATAGATGACCCAACTGTTATATATATATATATATATATCAAATACGCTGGAGGATTGGCGTTGGGGTACCTCATGAGCGGATGTTAAACTGATATGCAATGCAAAAAAAAAAAAATGCATGAGCTTTAACCTATACATTTTGCTCAGTGCATCAATTAAATGTTATGGCTTACCTGATGCAGCACTTGTCAGTAACATGTTTGCGAATAGTATATAAACAAAAAAGGAGGAATCCTGCACTCTTATCAGAATTCTGGTGTAACCAGACCTGGGGTTGGCTACCCCTACCGTAATAGTTGAATAAAGTTGTGGTCCAGGCACCCAAGGATCAGTTTAAACAGCAGTTTTATTTGGAAAAGTGCAATGTTTTGATCTCCAGGAGATGTTCCTGAAGATCTTTCTTTTGAGAAAAATCTCCTGGAGATCGAAACGTTGCACTTTTCCACATAAATCTGCTGTTTAAACTGATCCTTGGGTGCCTGGACCACAACTTTATTCAACTATGTTTGCGAATAGTGTGAGTTCGAACTCTAATTTTACCAGTAATGTGCTATTGCCTGGCCTGAAAGATGTAGAAGTATGAAGATACATATGTCACTTATCCAGGAACATTTGTCCTTGGAAAGGATACTAAAATCTTTAGATCACCTGCTGTATGCTTCCTGTTACATATGTTGAGCCAATTGTAAGGCAGATGTGTGACAGCTGTTCACTGGGTGTTTATTCCAAAGAAACTAAAAGTAATGTTTTGATACTAAAATACTGTTCTATATGGTATTTACTGTCATTTGTTTTTTTTTTCTATAATGAATAAAAGGTGATCCAAAGAAACAAATCCCAGGCAGATTTTATATTGACAAATACAAAGCAACATTTTGGCTACACAGAGCCTTTCTCAAACTTTCTCTTCTGCTGGAAGTTTTTTAAACCACCTTTCATTTTGGTAATCCTTCAAGATGGCTTGGGTAAGTGTTTAGTTTCAAGTACCCAAGGGGTCATATATTTCAACTCTTTCATTGCTCTTCCAGCATAGACTTGCATTGCATCCGGACAACCATGGTGTCTAAACCTGTTGTTTCTAAATGGAATCGGCCACTTAATATATATTCTGAGATTAACATAGCAGTTACAAGAATTTGGCACATTAAAGTGCTACGTTATTAACACCAACAATGTGTTTGCTCGGTCTATCTATACACAAAAGTCATATAAGAAGATTTTTATATGGCTAGAACTTAAATGGACAGGCTAAGCAGTGTTGTAGATTTTAAGAAATGGTGCTTTCCTGTATTTCATGGCTGTGATTGTTTTTGTTTTGTTTTCAGGGAAATTCTGTTCAAATTTTGCACAAAAAAAAGACAAAGGCAAAAAACAAAAAGACGGGAGCCACCCAAAGACTCCTTCAGCCATAACTACTTGTGGTTTTGGAACTTATAACATCCCAATAAGGTTGACTCTAATAAAACTGCTAGCACGAGTTGTCATGCAGGCAGAAAGCAATCTCATGTGTGTGCACGTGTAAATTTGTATGTGTTTGTATGTGTAATACAAATATATATATATATATATATATATATATATATATATATAAAGGCTACGAGGCTAGAGTAGACTATATTCACATTACAATAACTTGTGTGGTAATCATAATAAAAATGAAAATGAATTCTTCAGGCATTTGGTGTAATGCAAAAACCATAACTGTTACACACATTATATATTTTGTGTCCTGTTTAGCTCGAACAATCTTGTTTATGGCTCTTTGTACATATACCCTATTGACCTCATTGGTCCCAACGTTTATGAGATCGAGAGTGCCAAGGGAATAGGGGAAATGTCCTGCAATGAAATGATTTCTCTATTACCCTTTTCCATCTGCACTCTGGCTGTAACATTGCAAGCAACAATTCTTATTTCCCCGGAGTATCAGGAACCTCGCACTCCAAATCTCTGAAATAGAGATTTCCAGTGTGGAAATACAGTTTCAACTGCACATCAGTAAGGAGACAATTACATATATATTTTAACTCAGTTTGTAAGTTGTTCTGTTTAATGATTGCAGCATTTAAAAATAATATAATGATAGTACTTTTACAAAATTAAAAATGTCTAAATTAGAAATGCAGACAGCTGGAACCGGCTGCCTAAATGAAATGATATTGAAGGCTTTTCAAGTAACAGACAATGAATAAAAGACGCATTTAACACTGCTCTCAGTGATACACAGAGAAGTATAGAGAGCCTCACAATGTAGACTTAAACAAGGCAAGGATCCTCATTCCCAGACTGTAGGCCCCTCCATAGCACTCAAATGCACTCACTGCAAATACTTCACCAGTAATGGTAACAAAAGGAAGGGGCACACAAAATAACAGGGCTCAAAAATGTGAGTGCCAATTTAACTTCATGCATTTCTCATAGATGAATGCTGAGCCCTGCGATGGAAAAATATCCCTGTAACACATGTCAACCTTATGGATATTTTATATTACATGTTTTGTTATAACTCAAAACTTTTTAAAACTAAAGCTTTGGTCCACAGCAGCTGAAGGAGCAGAGATTAACTGTTCCAGGTCTTTCTAGCAGGTGCAGGATACAACACACGTTCTTCCATCCATCTGGTAATGCCATCAATGCCCAAATATGACACCAGTAAGACCAAAAGGCAAGATATCAAAAACTGAACATTAAATGAAGTGTTAAATATCACTTACCTTGGTATATAAATCCTGGTAGATGGGGATTTTTGTGACAGCTTCCCTAGTAGACCTTCCTAAGGGAAACTGCAAACAGTCAGTAGATCGTGTTCAAGGAATGCTGTCTAGGTATGGGTCAATGCTGGCTTAGGGTTAAGGCTGTTTTAGGGTTAGGAATTGTGTGGACTTAAGGTAAGGTTAGGGTAGAGTTAGTGTAAGCACAGGGGTAGGATTTGTACAGGTTTATGGGTTGGTTAAGGGTTAACATTAAAGTTAAATTACATCCTAGACATTTGAGTCTTTTAACAAACATGACTAATGTGAATCTATTTTTAGTTCTTTTTTTTTTAATTGCATTTGCTCTGTAAAAAATATTATACATAAAAATGTGAAAGAAACTTTTTTGTTTTGTTTTGGTTTTATATTTTGTCCCATTCAACATTTTATTTTTCCTAATGTATATATATATGATATTAAAGGGACACTATTGGCACCCAGACCACTTCGACTGTACTCCCACCTCCGAGGCTCACCTTCAAAACTTCTCCATCTCCAGGGCTGCACCTGACAATATAGTTGTGATACATTTTACTGTTTTGTATTAAGCTAATTCTTCTGAGTATAACAGTACCTCCCCATGTACAGGTTTTATGATTGTTTGTTTTTTAAAGTTACAGGGTCAAATATAAGGCTTGCATTTCTGTTTTTTCACATTGAAATTTGCCAGATTGGTTATGTTGCCTTTGAGAGCGTATGGCAGCCCAGAAATGAGAATTACCCCCACGATGGCGTACCATTTGCAAAAGAAAGTAGACAACCAAAGGTATTGCAAATGAGGTATATCCAGTCTTTTTTAGTAGCCACTTAGTCACAAACACTGGCCAAAATTAGCGTTCAATTTAGTTTTTGCATCTTTCACATACAAACAAATATGATCACTACATTTGGCCAGTGTTTGTGGGTACTGTTTTACTTGTAAGACATCGCTGAATGCAAATATGTGTACTTTATTGCAGGAAGAACTAACAGTATTATGACATTCACAGTTAAAATGCCAAAATAACTAAATTTCTTACATTTATTTATATTTTATTCATATTAAATTATGTTTCATATATAAATATTGGATGTGACATGAAAGCAAAATTCCAGGTTTTGTTTACGTTTTGATCACAACTTGTACAATTGACTCAGCTAATTGAAGTGGTCTGGGTGCTGTGAATTTAGTGCTGCAATGTAAACATTGCAGTTCCAGAGAACTGCAATGTTTACATTGCAGCACTAAGTCTGCCCTCTGTGGCTGTCTACCAGAAAGCCACTAGAGGGCTTCCAGAATCCAAATGGACTTTGGGTCCATTAGCTGACGCTGAACGTCCTCACGGACCTCCAGCGTCAGATTTTCCCCATAGGAAAGCATTGAATAATTAGGAGCATGTACAGGGCCTGACCTGGCACAGAGGGACATCGGCACTGGATTCAGGTAAGTGGCTGAAGGGGTTTTATCTCTTTCAGCCCCTCAGGAGGGGAGGTGTGATGGAGGGGGCACTCCAGGAGCCTATGGTGCCAGGAAAACTGGGGAGGCAGAGGGACACTGTTGTTATGAATACAGCTTTGTGTTCCTAACACTATAGTGTTCCTTTAACTACAGCTCTGGCCAAAACCCCAACATTTTCTCACAATTTCTGTAACACTTTAAAATTGTCAGATTTGAACACCCTGCATTCTACAAGCACATTATTACATTCTAGAACAGAGATTGTGAGAATGCAGATCCCCAGCTGTTGTAGGACCACCGACAAATCATCATGGGAGTTACACAATAGCTCAAGATATATACCTTTTCACCATTTATGTTCTAAAACATGGACATATCATTAGCTGCCAAAGGGTAAAAGGAGTTATGGATTGTAAGTTGCCAATGCCTGCTCTAGAAGCTTTCGAGTAGGGAAAAAAAATTCTTGAATAGTGCTGTGGCAGGACTGCCACAAGCAACAGTAAAATCCCACATACAGAACTAATGCTCTGGTTAAGCTACCAGTCATTTTTGATGGAGGATATGGAAAATGAAATGTTAATGATCTTCCGTCTGTCACAGACTTGGCTTGACTTGCATTTTCCCAGCAGCAGTGCGGTTTGCATATATTGTACGCGTAAGAGAAATCAGTTGTGTAGAACACACAGGAGGCGAATTTCAAGAATGCAGTAAATCTAAGGAGTTTATTCACTGAACAGTGAATTGTGGTGAATTGACAACTGAATTGCTTCATTTTGGAAAAACTAGCCATGCTGGATAACTAAATAAATGTATAGTAAAATGTTTCCATCTCCTTGTTTTACCTTTAATTATGCAATTCAGTTGTCAGGTCAACACAGCGGATACACCCCAAACATATTCCTTTATCAGCATTCCGTATCTCCCTTATCCTGATTTAAGATGTTCTATTACCAGTTTCAAGAACTCTGTTTTCAGTGATGGTTTTTAAACTGCAGGGATAATATAGCTACCCAAATCTTATCCAGTGGGCTTTCATTACATATAAATGCTAATAAAAAGTTGTGATCCTTGTTTGCAGGTAGCACGGTCCTCTAGGGCAAAAACATGCACAGTCCTTGTAGTTGCAAATACTCAGGCACTTTATTTTGTAAATCCACACAGGATACAGCAGTTAAATGAAAACAAAAGTAACAGAAAACCCTATAAACAAAAACCTGGCTCGTCTGAGCACTAACTGACATTAGGTCCCCTATCTCTCAGGGTTAAACTAAACAAAACAATAGTGGTTTCACCAACCTAGAGTCTTTGTCCACTCTCAGCACTCCAGTATTTAGCCAGCCTGCTGCTTCCAGCCTTTCAGAGAGAAAAAGAACATTCTCCCTTACCTGCCTAGCAGGGAGGGATTTTATTCCCACTTGCTGCAGCCGATTACCTACAGCTGAGCAGTAGGTTGGAGACAGTCCAAAACCCTGGGCTGGATCTAAGTCTTCCAAGAAAACCGCTAAGCTGCGGAGTGGAGCACTGGCCCACCCTGCTCTCCAAATGCTCCACCCCAGGGGCCCATAACTAAACAATGCTTTGTGTAACACACACAAACTACACATACTCCCCCTGGGGTTAAAAATCATATGCCTCTCTGAACAATTCTGTCGAGATATAGACTCCCTCACAGACCACCCCATTCACCTTATCACATATCCCCCTCCCCAGCTCAGACCCATCGGGGCGAGCGGCCTGGGACCATAAACAGTGAACTCGGGAGAGGCCATCCGCATTACCTTGGGCAGTTCCGGCCCTGTGAGCAATAGTAAACTGGTAAGGCTGAAGACTTAGGAACCATCTAGTCACCCTGGCATTCTTTTCTTTGTTATGCCTCATCCATGTTAAAGGAGCATGGTCCGTGATCAGTGTAAAACATCTCCCCAGTAAGTAATATCTCAAGGATTCCAAAGCCCATTTTATCGCCAGGCATTCCTTTTCCACTACGGAGTACCTCTGTTCATGGGGATTCATTTTCCGGCTCAGATACATGACAGGATGTTCCTCTCCTTCATGTACCTGGGACAGAACCGCGCCAAGGCCCACATCAGACGCATCGGTCTGTACCACAAATGGTTTAGTGAAATCCGGAGCCACCAAAACAGGGTCAGCACACAAGGCTCCCTTCAAGACTTGAAAGGCATGCTCCGCTTCCGGGGTCCACTTAACCATAATCGGGCCTTTTGCCTTAGTAAGTTCAGTCAATGGGTTGGCAATGGTAGCGTACCCAGGGATGAACCTACGATAGTAGCCGGTTAAGCCTAAAAAAGCCCTGACTTGCTTTTTAGTTACAGGACGTGGCCAACTGGTGATGGCTGCTACTTTGCTCTCTTGTGGTTTAAGGAGCCCCCGCCCGATAGTGTACCCCAGATATTTTGCTTCTTCTAGCCCTAGAGAACACTTAGCAGGGTTAGCTGTCAAACCGGCAGCCCTTATACTATCCACAACTGCCTGAACCTTCATCAAGTGGGTTTCCCAGTCCGCACTGTGAATCACCACATCATCCAGGTAGGCGGCTGCATACTGTCTGTGGGGGTGAAGTATCTTATCCATCATACGCTGAAACGTTGCTGGGGCACCATGCAACCCAAATGGTAGCACTTTATATTGGAACAACCCATCAGGGGTAGAAAACGCGTTTTCTCTTTTGCTTTCTCAGTCAGGGGTACCTGCCAGTATCCCTTGGTGAGGTCCAAGGTGCTCAGATATCTGGCCTTACCTAATCGCTCTATTAGCTCATCCACACGAGGCATCGGGTAGGCATCAAACTTAGAGATATCATTTAGCTTACGGAAATCATTACAGAAACGGATTTCCCCATTTGGTTTGGGCACTAACACTATTGGGTTGTTCCACTCACTTTGTGATACTTCAATCACCCCCAACTCAAGCATCTTTTTAACCTCTGCACTAACCGCTTCACGTCTAGCCTCAGGTATCCTGTAGGGCTTCAGATTGATCTTCTTCCCAGGTTCAGTTAGGATATCATGCTTGATTATATGCGTTTTTCCTGGTATTGGGGAAAACACATCCCTATTTTTAGACACAAACTCCCTGACTTCCTGTTTCTGATGGGGGGCAAGAGTATCAGCGACATGCACCTCCGGACCCTGCTCACGAGTGGCTTGAGTAGGTTTATCTCTGGTCACGATGAGAACCTCTCGTTCTACCCATGGCTTCAATAAATTTATATGATATGTCTGTTCTGGCTTCCGTCTGCCTGGCTGTCTTACTTTGTAGTTCACGTCACTGATCCGCTCAGTGATTTCATATGGCCCTTGCCAGCTGGCTAAGAATTTGCTTTCTACCGTGGGAACAAGAACTAGAACCCTATCACCTGGTTTGAAGACCCGTAGCCTTGCGTTCCGGTTATAGCTTGCTTGTTGGGCTCTCTGGGCCTTTTCCATGTTTTCCCTAACTATGGGAATTACCGCTTCGATCCGCTCTTGCATTTGCGCTACATGCTCTATAAGACTGTGATGGGGGTATGCTCTTGTTCCCATGTTTCCTTGGCAACATCCAGTATGCCTCTTGGATGCCTACCATACATTAACTCGAAAGGTGAGAACCCTGTGGAAGCTTGCGGGACTTCTCTAATAGAAAACATCAGGTAGGGTATGAGATAATCCCAATTTTTTCCATCCTTGTCTATCACCTTCCGCAGCATAGCCTTTAGAGTTTTATTAAACCTCTCCACTAATCCATCAGTTTGCGGATGGTATACCGAGGTTTTCAGCTGCTTGATTCTGAGCAATTTGCACAAATCACGCATGATTTTTGACATAAAAGGGGTTCCCTGATCTGTGAGAATTTCCTTAGGTATACCCATCCTGCTAAACATCATCAGTAACTCCCTTGCAACATTTTTAGAGGTGGCATTCCGTAGAGGTACTGCCTCTGGATACCGTGTTGCATAATCCACAACAACTAAAATGTACTGATGTCCTCTTGCGGACCTAGGCAACGGCCCTATCAGGTCCATTGCTATTCTTTCGAATGGAACCTCTATGATGGGAAGGGGTACCAATGGACTACGGAAGCCCTTATGCGGAGCTTTCAGTTGGCATTCTGGGCAGGATTTACAAAACCTCTCTATTGCCGAAAATACCCCTGGCCAATAGAATCGGGTCAGAATTCGTTCCCTCGTTTTTTCAAAACCAAGGTGCCCACCTAACACATGGCTATGGGCTAGTTTTAAAACAGTGTTTCGGTGAGATTGGGGAACTAACAACTGTTCTGCCTCCTCTTCCCCCTTTTTCTCTACTCGATACAGCAGATTATTTTTCACCATGAAATAAGGAAAGCTCAAGGGCTTGTCAGGGTCCGCCCTTGTACCCTCCACTATTTGCACATTCTCTCTTGCAGCTGTCAAGGACTTATCTTCCCATTGGGCTGCTCGGAAGTTACCAGGGGGGACTCTGAGATCCTGAAACTCCACTTCTTCTATAGGGTCTTCAGTATGGGGAGGTTCTACCTCATTACCCAGGCACACCAAGGGTGTCTCTTGCTCGTCACATTCTAAATCGGAGAAAGGAAAAATATTTTCTATACACTCTACCCCGGGTAGCTCCTCAGAGCGCATTTTTGGATGAGCAGAGCACTTTTCCCATAGGCGGCAGAAATGGGGAAAGTCCCTCCCTAATACCACATCATACGGTAATAGGGGCACTACCCCTACAGAGCATTTAACCTCCCCTACCTTGGTGCCAAACTCAACCTCTGCCGTGGGGTATGTGTGGGTGTCACCATGTATACACACAATATCAATCACTTGTTTGGTGTCTAATTTCCCTGGCTGGAGCAGAAAACTTTTTATCAAGGTAACCTCACTCCCTGAATCAATTAGAGCTTGTACATTCTTTCCTTCCACCCTCACCATTATTAAATGTGTTGCATTAATAGCACTAGTCACCACACACATCTTTGAGCAAGTCAATACAGTCCTATGCAGAGCCCTTGTCCCTACATCACACTGCATGGGCTCTTCATTCTCTGGACAGCTGCGTGCAAAGTGTCCAAGCTCATGGCATTTAAAGCACCGGAGTTGTCCCTCAGCGTGGTCTTGTAGCCGTAATGGAGCTGGTGGGGACCTTCTGCCACCCCGGTCACATGGTTCAAGGTTCGGTATAAAGTTTTGTCTTTTGTTTCCCACTTTCCCGCTTATCCGGTTGTTAGCCGGTCGGGACTTCTGATGAGGATCAATACTGTATGGCTCCTTGGCAACCAAATACCTCTCAATCAGGCACATCATTGCTTCTGGATCCTGAGGGTCCCCTTGGCAGACCCATTGTCGCAGTCCTGTTGGCAGGTGTCTGAGAAAACGGTCCATCACAACCATTTCCACTATCTTGGTAGCAGGGTTGCGCTCTGGCTCCAGCCACTTCTGAGCGAGCCTGAGCAATCCATACATCTGGGCTCTGGTAGGTTTACTCACATCGTATGCCCAATTATGAAATCTGTGGGCTCGAATGGCTGGTGTTACGCCAATGCGCTTTAGAATTTCAGCTTTAAGTTGCTTGTAATCCTGGATCTGGTCAGAAGGTAGGTCTTCATAGGCTTTTTGGCACTCCCCACTCAGGCATGGAGCTAGAAGCCCCGCCCATTGGCCCAGTGGCCATCTTTCCCGGGCAGCAACCCTCTCGAAAGTGGTGAGATAAGCCTCCACATCATCTGTCTCTGTCATCTTATGCAGGAAGTCTGTGGCACGGATACGGGATCCCCTTTCACCAGGGGGGCTCCCTGCAGATGGCAATATCACTCTCTGCAACACCTCAGTAAGGGCAGCTCTATCCATCTGCTGGGCTTCCTTCAGGTTCTCAACCTGGTTAACCAGTAGACGATTTGTTTCCTGTTGTACAGCGGTTGCCTGTACCAGAGCTTTCACCAGCTCCTCCATTATAGCACCAAGCAGGTAACAGTCTTAAAGGTACGGTGCTACTTGTTTGCTTAACAGGTCTGCAAAAATAAAAGTCCTCAAGCAGACTACCAAATGACTGGCACACCCACAGACCCTCACTGTGCTACTATGCCCGCATTCTCCACCATATTGTGATCCTTGTTTGCAGGTAGCACGGTCCTCTAGGGCAAAAACATGCACAGTCCTTGTAGTTGCAAATACTCAGGCACTTTATTTTGTAAATCCACACAGGATACAGCAGTTAAATGAAAACAAAAGTAACAGAAAACCCTATAAACAAAAACCTGGCTCGTCTGAGCACTAACTGACATTAGGTCCCCTATCTCTCAGGGTTAAACTAAACAAAACAATAGTGGTTTCACCAACCTAGAGTCTTTGTCCACTCTCAGCACTCCAGTATTTAGCCAGCCTGCTGCTTCCAGCCTTTCAGAGAGAAAAAGAACATTCTCCCTTACCTGCCTAGCAGGGAGGGATTTTATTCCCACTTGCTGCAGCTGATTACCTACAGCTGAGCAGTAGGTTGGAGACAGTCCAAAACCCTGGGCTGGATCTAAGTCTTCCAAGAAAACCGCTAAGCTGCGGAGTGGAGCACTGGCCCACCCTGCTCTCCAAATGCTCCACCCCAGGGGCCCATAACTAAACAATGCTTTGTGTAACACACACAAACTACACATACTCCCCCTGGGGTTAAAAATCATATGCCTCTCTGAACAATTCTGTCGAGATATAGACCCCCTCACAGACCACCCCATTCACCTTATCACAAAGTGTATTCACATCAAATAAGGAGCTGTACATGTGGTCACAACACCTTAGATATCAGAATTATTTAGCCATTACCATTTCACAAAAAATACTCTCTGAAATCATTCATCCAATATATGACAGGTGCACAGTCGGATTTGCCGGCATATGCGCTAACCTTACCCCAACCCCCATTAAAACACGGACACAGGTTATACTGTTGGAAATAATTTGTCCACAGCTTTATTAAATTATTAATAAATAATTAAGGAATAACAAATGGGGTCATTGCCAACAAATCTTAATAATGTTAACCTCCCCATATACATAACATACCCCTAGCAATGACCCCACAATAATAACAATAGATAACAATATAAATAACATGTTAACACAGAAACTGGCCGTCCAATTTGACCACATTTCCACCAGGTTAAATTGTAGGGGTGTACCGAGACACCGCTACCCACCATATCCATTGTAGGGGTGTACCAAGACACCGCTACCCACCATATCCATTGTAGGGGTGTACCAAGACACCGCTACCCACCAGTTCCAGTGTAGGGTGTACCAAGACACCACCACACCCCCAGGTTCGGAGCCACCGACGGGCTCGAACCTACCAACCACGTGCAACACTGCCCAATCCACACTAAACCTCAGGATGCCCACTTTCTCCTCCATCTACCCTCCGATTTAACCAGGCCATTCCCCGCCACAGCTCAGGACTTGACACCTAAAGCTCCTGAGCGACCCCCACCACACCGGAATAAGGCCTGTTGAATGCCTTCCTGAAGGCCCAATTTAAACAGATCACACCTTACATCCGAAAATGTACCCCATCCCACCTGGAGTACCCAGGGAGCTTTCCTCCCAATTCGTTGTGTCTCACTGTTACACCGCCCCCACATCTGATAAATACCGCCATCAATTTTTTATTAAGTCGTCCTCGACACCGAGCTACCACGGCCGGGTACGTAGTATGTCTCCAATGTAACCAAGGAACCATCTCGGACCGCACCACCACCACACCCGTGGCCAGCTCCCATAGCTGGTCCACCTCCCTCTGCCTCCACCTGATCAATTCCTTTTCCGGGACCATGCCAATATCCAGAATGTCCTGGAAAGTACCCCTTGTTACCTCCCGGAAAAATTTCTCCCCTAATGTCTTGCCACCAAAATCCCTGAAAAACAAAACCACTCCTGCTCCACCAATTTCAAAGGAAAGCCCAGTTACGTTTGAACTGAAACGCGGCTCCCATCTGTGCCCCTTAGATATAAGAATGACCCACCAACCATGTCACCAAACCTGAAACGAAAGTAATTAGCGACACGGCATAGCCCCAAACACAAACCCATACGTCCATAGCCATTAAACCAAATAGACTGGCCTGAAACAGGACTTAAACCGTACTGACTCCCACCTGCCTAAATGTTTCCCTAGGTCCTCACTTAAAACCAGGTGGGGTGCCTCTGTTACTGCCATCACCTGGGAAGAATGGGTCCCAAAGTGCCCGGGATCCAAACCCAACATTGTCAAACCCCTTCGAACAAACACCTGCGGGAATTGAATCGTGACAGCACCGATCTGTCCCCTTTTACCAGTAAGCCACCCGGGATGTCCGGGCAAAGCTCCAAGTAGCATGATGCGCTTAACACCGGGCGTACCCCTGACCCCGGCAGGGAATATAGCTTTACCAAACCTCCTTTACCAGACACATTCGTTCTTGAACAACCCTACTGAATCGTTACCTTAACCGACTAAGGTTCGACAACCAAGTGTAGAACTCCCCAACACCTGCCCGAAGGCACTCACCAGTTCCCCAATCCAAATTGCCCCAAGCCTCCGAGAAGGCCACCGCAAGCAAACTCACTGCAAAAGTAGGGTAATACACCACCAGGCGTTGCGTTACCCAAGGAAACCCGCCGCCCGGCACCGACATATTTCATATCTCTCCGTAAGACCCGCGATGCCTGACGGATGTGACAACGTTCCGTCACTTCCTCCCAATCAGTCAGTTTAAACCCTAACGACAATGCCACCATGCTCCTGTCCATTGCTGATGGAGCTAACGCTGAACAAACAAACGGCTTAGGAACCACAGCAAGGTATCCCTTCGCCCCTCCTTTGACTGGGCCCCCACAGTGAAACCAACCGCCTTGTCCCACATATCTCAAACGTTCACATAGGCAGTCCCTCTGCCCGGTGCGATAGGATTCTGTATCGATCCTCCAAGCATGGCGTCTCGAGCTGCCACATTTCCTCCAGACTGGACAGTCCCTCCTCCCGCGCCCCCTGGGGCCGCCATTCGCAGCTTGTCCCCTTGTGCGCGAGCCAAGTAACCAGCCCCTACCTTCCGCCAACCAGGCACGTGGCGTGCCTGCACCCGATACCTGAACAGTGATACGAATCGCCGCCATCGGCGTACCTCCTGAACCGAGGACCCGGCTGGATGGTAAACCACACGAACCCCGCCGTATTGTGCGTGAATTATGACTTTTCATCCCTTAATCCTTCACCTTTTAGAGCCACAGCCTCTCCCAATTGAAATAACTCAAAAGATGCCAACGTCGAATAAGAGGACTTACCTTTCATGCCTCCCACCACCGCTCTGCGCACCACCTGCCTTCCAGGTATGCCCCGGAATCTATGTTCCCAGAGGTATCTGTGAACAACTCGATACCACCCGCAAAGGCTCCACAAGTAGCCTTCGCCATGAAATGGCTACCGACCCAGTCCTCGCGACTAACCCGACATGCAACTTGAAACTGCCTTATGAACAACTGCGATTTCTCAGTGACCTTCTTGGACCTGCGAACCTTCAGCCTGAACTCCCGAAGTGCAGTCAACTGAACCCCAGGAAATCGACACTCACCTACCACCGAAACAATTTCCAGTCCAAGCAAAGACGTGCGGTAGGATTCCCGTGACCGTAAGGTATGTCCACAACGGCCCGGCCCAGCCGAGCCCACACAGCAAGCTATCTTACAGATAATGTACTAAGGAACCCCTTTCTGATTCCTTTTTCACCTCCCACTCCCAGACGGATCCAACTTCCCGAGTAGGAACATGAATGGAACTGCCCCTTGGCAAGTAGAGGTTACCAATAGGAACCTGCAAACATGCAACCCAAAAGATGGAAGGGTCGCCAATAATCGAACGCGTCCTGTTCCCCCAAACCAACTCGACGGCAAGGCCGAATGATGCCAACGATACAGAACAGTTCCGCGGCGATGTCCTCATTTACCGATGTCCCTTTTGGGTGCGATAAGTTTTGTATTGGACAGAATTTGCCCGCCCATTTCTAGGGGACCACCCCCCCATGGAGACACCCACAGGTCCGCTAATGGCGCGGAAGTTCCCCCATGGACTTGATATTCGCCCACCACTTTTCCTGGTCCCTCGACTTTGAATGGAATAGCGTAAACCCCCTCAACAATCTCAGCCATAAAACTAGCGCATTCATGGGAGGCTTACTGCCTTAGCCACAGCAGCAATGCACTGATCATCACTGGTGCCGCTCCGAGCCGCAACCGCGGGGCTGAAGCCCTGCCGAGTACCCTTCCTGCCTTAGGTTTTCCTTTTTTGACGCGTCAGTTGACACCGTGACTCCCACCGCCTCCGGAACACCCGTATCGAAGCCTACCCGACGGTCCCCAGTTGTACTGACCTTTCTTCTGTCCAGCCAGGACAGCACCTCCTCGGGGTGCGCCGTCAGCCCCCGGAAAGAGCGCATTTCCTGCACTATCATTAGGAACCACCCCTTTTAAATCAATGAACTCCTCGAGCGGAAGACAGGAATTTTTTATATATATATATTTATTTTTTTTAAATCCCCTTTATCAAATCTTATCCTCCACCTTCAAGTGCCCCCCAATGTCCCCGCGAAGGACACGTGCCCATTTTGTTGTGCCACGCCTGGAATATTGCCACACATCTAACTGTTCTCCTGCCCCGTCAGATGTCCTCGGTACACCGTATTCCCCTTCCCTTACCCGGCACGCCGTCACCACCACCCTTACTTCGGCCTCCCGACTGCGCTCTGGTGACCCCACCCTTCGGCACTGCGGGGACGGCCCCTTTTTTCCTTGATCATGACTCTAAAATGATTTATGCAATTTAAAAAAGTGTGGTGTGTTTATGGACTCACCGCCCGAACCTCCGTCTGCGCTGTCCTTCCATCCACCTTGCCAGGCTCTGGAGTATCCGGTGGATGCCGACTCCTGCCCGCGCTGGTCCAGCCTCAAGCCCGTAGAAGTAACACTCCTCGACCTGCTTCTCCATCCCTCATCCGACCTCCCGCTGCTGCTGTGCCTGTCATTGTCGTTGCGCTGCTCTCTGCCGTACTCACACCTGCTGATGCTCCTCCTGTGTTCCTGCTCCTGAGAACACCCCCCAGGGGGCTCCCGCTTGCCTCTGTGCCTTACGTCCATTTCCTCTCGTCTGCCCTCTGCTTGCAGTACCTGGCCTCTCCCAGGCCGCCTCATCCACTTGTGGCCCCTTTAATTAATCCTGGTTGCTGGCCTTCCCCTCCATAGCTGCTCTGCTGTGCCTGTGAAGACACCGCCTGCTGCTTTCACTATCCGCTTCCTTCACCTCTGACCTGACCCAGGCCCCATCCAGGGCCGCCTCCGTCTGTGTCCCGCCGACCTGGACCCCCCCGCCTGCCCATTGGTGGGGGGGGGACGACCGCTTTTACACTGCTGGGCCCTTGCTTCATTCCCCCTGTCACTCAGGTATGCCACCAGGGGCAGACTCACCAGGACGCCTCTTGCAGCTCTTCCTGCCTGGCGGCCATCATGTCATGCTGGATTCCGCCGTCCTTTGTGCTTTCCCGCCCCCCCGCCTTATTGCAGGGGGCGCTCTTACTGTGCGGCCTCATCCTGACCTGCCGTCTTGCCTGACCGGCGCCGCGTCGAACATACGGCGCCAGCCGCCCTCCAACTCCTGCCTGCTTTCTGACCTCATTCTCAGCCTTCCCCTTGACGCCTCCTGACAGGCTCACGGGCTGCCGAACTAACGATGTCACTCACAGGCTGCCGCTGGGGCGTCCTCGCTCTCCTTGCTGGCCTCTGTTCCACCGCCGCGTGGGGGGGGGGGGTAGCAGATGTGCTCGGGGCCCCCCAGCTGCTCCTGCAGCCACCAGACACGATTCTGCCACAACCTTTGTGACCAGGATGGTGGCTTGCTTGGAGTTCTGTCTGAGGCTGATGGGAGTGAGCATGCAGCAGCAGCAGCAGCTCACTCCAGCCTCTCCTGTACCTCCATGCTGTCTCCTGTACCTCCATGCTGCCTCTGTTCTTCTATGCTGCCTCCATGCTGCAGATGGGAGTGAGCATGCAGTAGCAGCAGCTCACTCCAGCCTCTCCTGTACCTCCATGCTGTCTCCTGTACCTCCATGCTGCCTCTGTTCTTCTATGCTGCCTCCATGCTGCAGATGGGAGTGAGCATGCAGTAGCAGCAGCTCACTCCAGCCTCTCCTGTACCTCCATGCTGTCTCCTGTCTCAGTACTGCCTGTTCTCCATGCTGCTGATGGGAGTGATCATGTAGTAGCAGCTCACTCCAGCCTCTCCTGTATCTCCATGCTGTCTCCTGTCTCAGTACTGCCTGTTCTTCTATGCTGCTGATGGGAGTGATCATGTAGTAGCAGCTCACTCCAGCCTCTCCTATACCTCCATGCTGTCTCCTGTCTCAGTACTGTCTGTTCTCCATGCTGCTGATGGGAGTGATCATGTAGTAGCAGCTCATTCCAGCCTCTCCTGTATCTCCATGCTGCCTCCTGTCTCAGTACTGCCTGTTCTTCATGCTGCCTGTTCTCCATGCTGCCTGTTCTGCTATGCTGCCTCCATGCTGCTGCCTTCTCCCTCCAGGGCAGGCAGCTTTCACAACTGACAGGTAAGCTTAGGTTCAGTTAAAATGGCCACTTCACATAATGGCTGGTATAAATACTCCCCTTATGGCTCCGCCCTACCCAGCATGCTAGCTGTCACTAAATTCCTGTGGCTGCTATGCCTACCTCCTGGCTCTGTCAAGGCCTATTCCTCTTAGCTGCGCTGATCCATGGGCTACATTTTTATTGATAAGCGTGATTAAGTGGCAACTTTGGGTCCAAATGAATCCATATGTTTTTGTCAATTCTCTAGGGATTAGTTTGATTAATCGTGGAGGGACTGCACCCACAGAAGCCTTTCTCCATAGCCCCTATGATAAGCTACAGTGGTTATGGTGCTTGAAGTGCCCTTTTAATAATAAAAGACATATACATAAACATCTTCATTTAATGCAACAAAATATATGCAATCTGACACTAATAGACCAAAAGTTGAGAGAATCTTTTCTTCTATCCCTTGTGGATTGCTTCTAAAAGGGCAAATGGGTTAATACATTTATATCTAGCACATGCAGGGCCAGACTGGGAAAAAAAATAGGCCCGGGCATTTTTTAATCAGAGCGGCCCCCTAAGAGGGGGCGGGCCAGAGAATGACAACACGCCCCCTCTCAAAGTGAGCATGTTGGTTCAATGCCCAGAGCCCTGCTGAAGAGCTCTGGCATTAGAAAAAGGCCCTGAATTTGTTCTGCGCAGCGCAAGCAAATTTAATAACATGCTTGCGCTGTGTTTGCTTTTAAATAGTCTCTGGTGTCTCCACAAGTGGGATACCAGAGAACAAAAGGGCCAGGAAAGTGTATGGTGCATATGTTTGGAGCCTGCTTGTGGGATTGCGTGTGTGTAGAGTGTGGTGTGGTATTGTATAAATAGGTCAATTTAATTTGTGTTTGTGGTGTAATATGTGTGGCTAGGGGTTGTAGAGAGTGTGTGTATAGGGGGCATAGTTTTATAGGGGATGCAGCGAGTGTATGCATAGGGGCTGAAGTGTGTGTGTATAGGTGACGTAGTGTGTGTAGGGGTTGCAGAGAGGGTGTGTTTAGAGAATGTTGTATGTGTTTGCTGACAAGGAATGTAGTGTGTGTGTAGGAGATCTACTGTGTAAATGACCCAGTGTGTGTGTGTGTGTAGAGGATTAAGAGTGCATATAGGGTAAGGGATCTAGTGTGTATCTGGAGCGTAATGTGTGTAGTGGTGCAGTGTGAGGGGTGCTGTAGTGTGTGTGTGTGTGTATGTATATATATATATATATTTGGACTTATTGTATGTGTGAGGGACGCAGTGTGTGTATGTAAGAGAGGTGCTGTGTGTGAGGGTGTTTTTATCTGCTGTCACATTCAAGGTTTCTAATTTTCTTTGTCTGTTAACTCACTGAGGGTTATTTTATATATATATATATATATATATATATATATGTGTGCTGTATATGTGTGGGAGTGTGCTGTGTGTGTCTAGGGGGTGCTGTGTGTGTCTGGGTGCGCTGTGTGTGTCTGGGTGCGCTGTGTGTGTCTGGGGGTGCTGTGTGTGTCTGGGTACTGTGTGTATCTGGGGGTGCTGTGTGTGTCTGGGGATGCTGTGTGTGTCTGTGGGTGCAGTGTGTGTCTGTGGGTGCAGTGTGTGTCTGGGGGTGCTGTGTGTGTCTGGGGGTGCTGTGTGTGTCTGGGGGGTGCTGTGTGTGTCTGGGGGGTGCTGTGTCGGGGTGCTGTGTGTGTGAGTGAATGTATTTTTTTATTTAAATTTAAATATTTTTTTTTACTACTAAAAAAAAAAAATTAAAAAAATTTATTTCCCCCCCTCCCTTCTTACCTTTATCCTGGGAGGGGGGGGAGCCGTGCCGTTCTGCCATGGAGGGAGGGGAGCCGTTCTGCCATCCTTCCCTGGTGGTCCAGTGGTGAGAGTGAACTCTAACCTGCAGGTTAGAGTTCACTCTCGCGAGATGAGCGTTGCCGCGGCAACGCTCAGAATCCCGCGAGAGGACCGGCGGAGCTGCTTGTTAGAGCTCCGCCGGGTCCTCTCTCCTCACCCCCTCCCCTATCAAAGATCTCCATCACCGGCCCAGAGGCAGGATGATGCGGCCGCTGGCTGGGTGAGGGAGATCTTTGATAGCGCTGGCCCTGCAGGGGCCGGCCGGGGAGATCCCCTGCCGGCCTTGGCCCCACGGCCATCGCGGCCCACCGGGCATTTGCCCGGTATGCCCGATGGCCAGTCTGGGCCTGAGCACATGGCATTGGTTAACACATTATTTCTAAAAATAACTAACTGTGGCAAGGAGTGTCTTATCTGTGAATTTCCCTTTTCTTTTATAGGAATACCCACTATTTTTAAAGATTATATTTTGTGAGATTTCCATTTCTGTATTCACACTAATTTCTGAGCCAAATAACTCAGTGGGATCTTTTAATAAATACCCCATAGACTTGTGTTGCTGCAGTTTATTGGATTTCAATGTAAAAGAAAATGAAGCTCAATAATTGGTCTGGATTAGCATCAATGTAATAAAAATGATTCAGATGAGAATGTATTAAATTACCAGAAAAAAAAGTTGTTTACTCTAGCCATTTTATACAGACATTTTCCAGTTATTTAAAAAAAAACAAAAAAAAACCTTTCACAGTTGACTGCATTTGACTGTAATTTGAGTATATTCTCAGTCAGTCTTTAAATGATTAATATATTGCCAAGGCAGCAAATGAAATAGAAAATGGTTTTACATATAAAATGTTTTTTTTTTTTTTGTTTCTCACTAAGTGTACTTTTTTGGGCACACTCATGATGCTGATAGAAAAGACTGATTCCTTTATTCAAAAAGATTTGTATTATTAATATATTCCTCCTGATATTGTAGAAAACTCTGCCAAATTTTTTATATAGTGCCCGCATAGGTGAGTCTGTCTGCTAACAGTCGAAAAGTGAAAGGGGTGGGGATGAGACATAAGAAGTGAAATATGCAGTACAGGACAAAAACATAAGAAATGTGTTTTGTTTCAGTGTGGATATAGTTGTTAGGACTAAAATTATTAGTAAGAATTTTTCATACCTTCTAGTAGAGAGGTATGTGCCAGTATTGTACATTGCATCATTGGTGACGGTTTCAGTCCAAAAACTGGTACAAAATCCCTGCTCTGTGGGATGGGGATTCCAAATTATTACTGGCCTGATAAGTCTGGGACTTATGCGTTAATGCAGCAATGTAATTCAACACATATCTGGCAAAGCCCCTAAGGTGACAGGCCTGATTGTACCTTCAGTGGCTAGGGTTGAAGTCAACCAGAAGCTCTCAATTGTAGGCACAGTCATCTAGTTCAATTGAATATCTGATATGACCTTGAGATTCTGCACAGAAATTCTCGCACGTCATGCTGTCACTAGTAAAGGCTTCTGGGAAAAGACATTGACAAGACAGTTGACATTGGAATTTCCTTTCAAGTGTTGTCTTTTGTTAACTTTTGTTAACCTTGACAATTGCTCATAACATGAAGTATTCCCTACAATATCTTTTGATTGTGTTGAGTTATGGAATTTTGTTGTAAAGAGATGGGAATTAAGTGGAAAACTGAAGATGGTGAAGGAGAAAGCTGGACTCACTTGATATGATATGACAGCTTGGGGTAGTCTGTAAGCGGGAGATGACAAGTATGATGAGACATGGTTCTTCAAAATCATGAGGAAAAAAGGCAGGATTGTGGACTGGTTAATAATAATACAGGATCAATGTATTAACCATGAAGCGCAGCATATTTAGTTGTTGGTTTTTTTCCCTTAAAGGCGTAAGTATATTTTGGAGGAACTATGGACCAGATAACAGAGTTGTGGGTTTGCAAACGATGGTTAGGTGTTTTTTAAAAAAAACAAAAAAACACATTTTTATTAATGGTAAATATTTATCAAATACTATTGAATGCTTGGTATTAATCAGTAAATAATGTATATTTCTCCAGGCTAACACACCTATTATATTTTGGGGAAGGTTGTGTTCTTTAGAATTCATAGCATATGCTTCATATCTTCGAGTACCTATCAATTCTTCCTTCTCCATCTGCCCTCGAGCATGAGCGGGCCCCAGTGCAGAATGCACTATATATGAATTGTTTATGATTCTGTATTCATCCACTAGAATGGAACTGGATACAATAAATCTGGTAAGACATAGTCTTGAGTACAACACAGGACATCACAAATCACTGAGGCAATGCCGCTCCAAGACAGCCCTGACAGTGATCATTCAGTTCAGTAGAATTATATGTTATTTTCATGAGGATTTCAAAGGGTCTTTCATTGTTGAAGATCTGATTAGAACTAGCACTGGAAGCATGCAAGGATTTCCATGTGTTTGACTAAGCCACAATTCTTCTCTGCTGACACTAGGAACACAAAGTCATTCTAACAGAATGGCTGAAGAATAAACTAATGATTGCGGTAGTTATTATGCTGCATGCTTTTATGTATTCTTCATCATTTTCAGGTGAGTTTCTCAAACAGAGTGTTTGCATCTAAATAGCCATTTACCAAAACAACAAGCACATCTGTTTCTTCAAGGATTTAAGTTACCGGTAACTATTTGTGAAATATTTTTAATCTTTTGAAGGTGAAGTTGAGCTGAAAAATCTTTGTCCTGCATAAGTTAGATTATTCTCTATGTAGAATTGTGAAGAACATTGAATCCAATATTAGTTGGTGCTATTGTTGCTAAAATATGATTTTGATGACTTAATGTTCCTTTATTATTGCATTTCTTTTGTTCTAGCTTTGTGCAATAGAAGTGGAAAACTATTGCCTGTTAGTTACATTAAATTTTCAGAAAAGACCACCAGCCATTCTGGTACATTCGTGTAATCAATCAATCCTTCCTTCACCTCTGCCTATATAAACACCTTTCCACATTTCCTATTGTGTCGGTGTAGATTCCGCTATCTTCACCTCCACCAATATAGGAGAGCAGGGATGGCTGATAGGTAGATTTTGCTTTCAGCCAATGAGCTGGCCCTGCACAGTAGGGCTTAGCTCAGTAGAGCTAATGGAAGCTACTTGCAAGAGCTTCTGGCTCCATGTGAGGCAGCAACGGGTAGGATGTAGGGTGGAGAAAACATTCCAGTTCTTCCTAACTAGAGGGTATTTTAGCTTATATTGACCACTGCTTAGTGTGTTTATTTAGTGGGAAATGAGTGCAAGCAGAAGTTGTGTGTAGTTGCAGTCTGAGCCAGTGTTTGAAGAAGATTAAAAACAGTTATCTCATATACTTTTTTTATGCCCTGTTGCTGGATGTAACCATTTTTCCTTACAGATAAATAGTGCAATCGGCACATAATACTAGATGTTTATATCAGCAGCAATTGCTTCCAAAGATGTTTATGATTCTTATCAAATCCTTTTCAATGTGTATGTACAGATAGCCTGTTTTAAACCACTGAGATGAGCTGAAGGGATACTTTAAATTATCTGATGACCAGAATTCAGGGGATGCTAAACACAAGGAAAGCAGTTACATTAAAAAAATGAAACTTAATAAAAAAATTATTTGTGAAGAAGCAAATTATACTGATAAGATTATCAATATTAATTTATCTATTATATTTAAGATCCAAAACAAATTTTGTAAAAAATTGAGACAGCGGTATATTCCATGTTATAACAATTCTTGTTTTTGTTGTTTATATTAAGATTATCTCTTAACAGAACATGCAGGGACTTGCATACCTGAGATTAATGCATTCTCTGCCAAAAACAGGTCAGCAGGCTATTTCCCTTTGAAAAAAATAAACCACTCAAAATCTTTCTCATGTTTCCAAGGTTTCTCATGAGCTGGTCCATTTCCTACAACTCACATCAGTTAACTGCAAGTTCCTTATCTACTGCTCAGTCTATGTTGTTTTGAATACATGAATATATTCAGTGAAGCTCCTAATAAATTAATGTAGAACCTACAATCTGATACCAAATTTAAAAAAGCCACTCCATACTGGCACAGATACTCATCAAACCTCTTTATAAGAGGTTTAGCTGTGACTGGAGTTTAAGTCTATTATGAAGATACTGTCAATATTTTATAGCAGCATATAACATGGGGATATATAATATATTTATAGGCATTAAAACAACTTTAGCTCAATGACGCAGTTTTTGTGTATAAATCATGCCCCAGCAGTCTCACTGCTCAATTCTCTACCATTTAGGAGTTAAATTACTTTTGTTTCTGTTTATGCTCCCCCAGCTACACCCCCCTGGCTGTGATTGACACCGCCTGCATAAAACATGTTTTTATTTTCAGTCAGATGTTAACTAACTTTAGGATTTTTTTATCTCCTGCTCTGTAAATTGAACTTTGATCACATAAAGGAGGCTCCTACAGGGTCACAAAGCTATCAACAGCACGAGATAATATATTCTAAATTAAAATGAATGCGTGATAAACTTAGTTTAAACATTAGAATTCTACAGGAAATATGAAGGGACACATTGTAGCTCACATGCATAGAGGTGTGCCTAGGGCTACATAAACAAAGTTAATTAACTCCTAAATGGCAGAACATTGTTTTGGTGCTTATAGTATCACTTTAACTAGAGCTAACTCAAAGTGTGGACTTTACATTAGAAAATCATTAAGTTGCCTATCTGCTATTTAGAGCTGTTTTGCTATGTGTTTATCCTGTTTTTGAGGTGTAGGAATTCCTGGAATTTGTAGGGATGACTGTTTTATAGAAATCTAAACTTATTTAAGTGATGAACAGTGTTAAGTATAACACAGGAGACGTATACGGTTTAGGAAAAAACAAAAAAAGGATATGCTGTTAGGTTTGAAAGTCTCTCTCATTAGTAAGACAATCAGCCTTCATGTCCTCTAAGTTGCCAGTGGTAATCAATAGCTGGGCACCATCACTCTTGGTGTCAAGAAATATATGCATTCATACAGATTCACTTTTTCCAGGCTATTTCCCTGTCAATTAAAATCACTTAAACTATAAAGAAAATAGTTAGTTACATTGGTTGTTGTCTTTGAAAACATTAAATTGGCATCACAACATACAAAAATGATCTGCACATTGGATTATATGTATTCTATTGGAGAATGCAGGACTGTGAAGTGTTACTGTTGTTGCTTAAATATAAACCAATGATAGCTGATTTTTAATAACATTGCCATTGGTAACAATCAGTTCAGTATTTAAATTTTCATGCCAAACATCTGTTACTTTTATTCAATTTGCATCACTACAGTTATGCTAGTGTTATTTAATGTATACCGTCAAGTGTGCTGGAAAACCCCCAATCGACTTATACTCGAGTTAATGTCTGTATTATGGCAACTTATATTGCCATAATACAGACCAGGACCGCCGGGCTTATTACAAGCCCGACGGTCCTGTTGGGGGCTGGCAGAGAGCTGTTACTTACCTTCCTGCAGCTCCTGTCAGCTCCCTTCTGTCTCCTCCATTCCTGTCATCTCCCCTGTCAGCTCCACTGTAAATCTTGCGAGAGCCGCGGGGAACGCTCCGCACGGCCGCGAGACTTACAGTGGAGGAGAAGGGAGCTGACCGGAATGGAGGAGAGAGAAGGGAGCTGACAGGAGCTGCAGGAAAGGTAAGTAACAGCTCTCTGCCAGCCCCCCTCCTGCACAGCCCATGCACTGGACCACCAGGGAATGAGAGCCCACCTCCCTGGCCAGCTAACAAGCAGGGAGGGGGGACGAAAATAAATATAAATAAAAAATTAAATAATAATATAATAAAAAAATATTAATAATATATATAAAATAATAATTATAATAATAATTAAAAAAATAATAAAAATGCCCACCCCCCCACCAAGGCTCTGCATCACATACACACACTGCACTCATACACACACACACACACACACACACACACACACACTGCACTCATACACACACACACACACACACTGTACTCATACACACACTGCATTGATACAAACACACTGCATTATATACACACACACACACTGCATTCATTATACACACACTTGAAATAAATATTCAATTAATATAATTTTGGGGGGATCTAATTTTATTTAGAAATTTACCAGTAGCGGCTGCATTTCCCACCCTAGTCTTATACTCAAGTCAATAAGTTTTCCCAGTTTTTTGAGGTAAAATTAGGGGTCTCGACTTATATTCGGGTCGACTTATACCCGAGTATATACGGTACATCATGAACACATCATGTTGATCTTAGGGCCAATCTTTGTATTGTGAATATCCATATATAGGTAGTGGAACTGCACTCAAACCCTCTCAGGAATCCTTGGGTGCTAATTTTTGGGGTAAAATTAGGGATCTCGACTTATATTCGGGTCGACTTATACTCACACTGCATTCATACAAACACACTGCATTTTATACACACACACACACTGCATTCATTATATACACACACTTGAAATAAATATTCAATTAATATAATTTTGGGGGGATCTAATTTTATTTAGAAATTTACCAGTAGCTGCTGCATTTCCCACCCTAGTCTTATACTCAAGTCAATAAGTTTTCCCAGTTTTTTGAGGTAAAATTAGGGGTCTTGACTTATATTCGGGTCGACTTATACCCGAGTATATACGGTACATCATGAACACATTATGTTGATCTTAGGGCTAGTCTTTGTATTGTGAATATCCATATATAGGTAGTGGAACTGCACTCAAACCCTCTCAGGAATCCTTGGGTGCTGACCGGACCGGTCCCAGTACCAAGAAGGACCAAATGTAGAATTTAAATGTAGAAAGTAATCCAGGCACTCCAAAAGTCTTCCAAAAAGGGGCAATTTTATTGGACCCAAGCACCAAAGTACAACGTTTCGACCCTCAGGTCTTTGTCAAGCTAGCTTTTTGTCAAGCGAGCCTTTTCCAGGTCTTGAATAGTTTGAATGTAAAAAACATTACATGTAGTGTGCACGTCCACATTTTACTGTTTTTTTTTTTTTAATATACAGTTACCTGTGTAATGGTGTGCAGTGGCAAACTTGTTTGAGCTCTGTGCGAGGAATAACTTAATTGGCAACTGTTAAGTATGCTAGTTCACAGTGTTCTCATATCTTCTTTTTCCTTCAGTGCAATTGCTTTGGGTCATCCTACATTTAAAGGGTAATTCAGACATGGAACCTGGACTCACAGTGCCTGTATCTCACTGATAAGGCGGAAGAAGGCCAAAATGATCATCATGGTTTCCTGTCTCTTTCGTGCAGAAAGATCTGCACCTCATTTGTGGGTTGTATTAGTTGGATATGCAACTAGCTAAAGATTTCTCAGGAATGGCATATGTAGGCAGAAAACTTTTTGAAACCTAAGGGGTACTAACAAAAGGGCAAGCCATTAAGTTTTTTTTTCCACTAGTGTGATTTTTGAAGTTTCTAATTAATTAGTTATCTGTGAGGTAGGGTTTATGGTATTCAGCTAAGGAATGCCATAAAGACGAAGGGATTTCGGTACTTTAAGAGGGAATTTGGCTTTAACTATTAAGCATTTCATTATGATTACAGATTTTATATCCAACAGTGACAAAATATTCTCATAGACGAAAGGATGACCAGACGGTTATTTTATCCTTGCTTATGGTTGTTGGTTTTACTTATTTTAGAAGATATGTACAACATTTTGGGTTTATTTTTAAAGTTAATTATTAGTTTCGCTTTACCGATGATGGATGACATGCACTTTTTGGCATTGAACCTTTACAAATGTGCAAGTACTAAGTTGGTGCTTTTGTTTTGCCAAAATGTTATTTAACGCTTGGTATTAACTGTTAGAGGACCAGTAAATCTTAATAAAAGACCTCATATAATTGTTGAAATGATGTACTTTCATTAACAACGTTACATAATAAGGATAATCTATAAAATCATAGTTATAGCTCTCCTGAGCTAACAGAAATAATGAATCTTTAGTCAAGGAGAAAATATATATATATATATATATATTTTCTTACATTCCCTATAATTAGAATTTTTATGGAAATAGAAAATATTCAAGGGGAAAGGGAGAGTCATTCTTTCAAGGGGAGCAGTCTCATCCCAGGATTTGCAAATTTCTCTTTACTGATCCCCTAAAATTACCAACTATGTTACATGAATTCTGAAAAATCTAATTAAATGTAGAACTCCATAGATATAACTTGGAACTTGGCAGCACCATCATGGCTCCCTGTCAATCAGCATTATTAAGGTCACCATTTATATGGTTAGTATGGTTGTATTGATTTAATAGAGGGAGTGAAGGGAGAGGACATGCAAATTGCTAGACCAAGAACGGTGTGGAGGAAGGCAAGGAGTCTATTTAAGTAGGGTAATCATGCCCCTCACACAAGTCCAGGCAAAGCCTTAATACATATATTTATTTATTATTAAATCACATGAAAAAAAAAGTTAACATGAGTTATAATTCTTCTACAGTGTTTTATTGAATGTTTTAAGTTTCAGAGAAGTAACATTCCATTTTAAGATAGACTTTTTTCTGCAATATAATACTACTGGGGAGGTGAAAAAGGTATACCTTTAACTAGTTTACTAGTTGGTCTTGAGGGGACATGTGGTTTGCGCCTCATTTGAGCATAGAGTAGTTCCAATGATCCCCCTAATTGCTGCTTTTATGCAAGTCAAGTAACACAAGACCAGAAAGCTCTAGGAATGTGCTTACTACGAATTCCACCCATGGCCTATCAGAGATGATGCCTGAAATATACATTAAAGATAACAGTTGGGTATGGAAAGGATTAGATATTTAGAATCAGTTGATGATAGTGGTACAGAGCAAGTGCAGAGATAGGGAGGATGCATGGAGAAATTAGAGGTGGCAGGAAGAAGAGATAAGAGAATAGAATAAGAGGGTATAAGGTAAAGAATGGGAAATCCAAGTGGGTGAAGATGATGATAACTGTAAAAAAAACTGGGGAAGAAGAGAACATGAAATAATGTTGAGATAAAAAGGAAACTATACAAAAAAAAAGAGAGAATATATGTACTGGGAAAGATGAATTTATTGAGATGATGGTTGATAGATAACAATGTACTTCCTCTGGCGGAATGGAATGGATTCAATGACAAATAGCATACAGTTAAAAAGGTTTATCTGTTTAAGCATTTTTAATGTTGTGGAAGATTTGAAATTCTATATAATTAATTTTATTTCCATTTTATTATATTGCACACCATATACATCTTCAATGCACCATAAATACACTAAAGCAAACACTTTAATTGTGTCAAGCAAATTCAGGTGTGTAGGAACATGGGTTGATGACAACTTGATAAATGCAATGATACACTTGGCGTGTGTTTCTAACATATACTCTTTGAAAATCACTTTACTTTTATGAAATACATTGCTATTTTTAATTCCACTCGAATATAATAAATCAACATTTTTAAAGTTTAAAGGAATGCTATAGGCATCAAAACAACTTTAGCTTTATGGAGTGGTTTTGGTGTATAAGTTATGACCTGTAGTCTATCTACTTGATTCTCTGCCCTTTAAGAGTTCAATTACTTTATATTTGCAGCCCTAGCCATACCTTTTATGCGTGTGACCTACGCAATCTCCCTACACATTTTCTGTGAAGAGAATGGTTAACCATCCTTTATTGAACAGTCTGTTTACTTTAGAATTCCTTATGCTATGTTAAAAGCCTTCACAAGTTTCTTATGTGTGATTAAAGCTCAATTAGCAGAGTAGGTGATAGAACGTCTAAAGTGAACACACTGTGCTGTTAGATCTAATTGAAAATTAAATCATTCTTTCATGCAAGCTGTATGAGTCACAGCTAGGAGAGGTGGGGTTAAGGCTGTATACACAGAAACAAAACTTATTTAACTCCTAAATGGCAGGGAATTGAGCAGTGATACTGCAGGGGCATGGTCTATACACTAAAACTGCTAAATCAGTCACAGTTGTTATGGTGCTTTAAAAGATTTTTGACCAGTCATCGTGGCCTGCAAAAACATGATTCCGACAATACCAGATATATTTTGCTCTGTACTCTAATATGAAGCGATTGATCACAGTTGTGATACCTTCAGGAAATAGGAAATTCTAAATTAATTCTTAGAAAAAGTAGAGCATTTATGAGTCTAACTCTTTTTTCATAATGCTTGAAAAGTATGTGTTTTAACCTAGAAAATTGTTTACTTAAAAGTCCACGATAAGGGAAAACATTGCAACAGTATCATTATTATGATTTTTTTTCTAAATTAATCATGTTCTATTTTATGTTTTATTCATTTCTGCATGTAAATGTTCTATTGTATTTATATATAATATTTGCTTATTGCAGATCGCTGGCATTGGAGCAAAAGCCTTTGGGGGACAAGTTGTTGAGAATGCAATGCTCAGTAAAGAAGAATTTATTGAGAAGGTCCGTCAGAGCAATGAAGCATGTAAAAATGGAGACTTTCAAATGGCCATTGAACTCTACAGCGAAACCTTGCAAGTTGATCCTCAAAACTGCATCTTGTATAGTAACAGATCAGCAGCATTTCTGAAAACTCTGCAGTATGAAAAGGCTTTAGATGACGCTATTAAAGCCCGCTTGCTGAATCCTAAATGGCCAAAGGTAGGCACATATTCTCTTTGTTGTTCAGTTTTCAGCCAACACCTGAAGAATATGCAAAAAAAACTCTCAGGTATTCAAAACATTTGCCCTGCTCTCTTCAGTCCATCAGCAGGTAAACTTTGAGGGGCTACGTGGATCCTTAGGCTCTGCTGAAATCAATGCATAATTTGCTGAACATCGTTCTGAATGCGTACAACTTGATAGATAGTCACAGCCAAGTGTAACAGGACGAGTCTTGTGGTTATGAATGTCATGTCAGATTGACAAACATATTGTAGGACAGACTTACTATGACTGATAAGTCACACATAATACGCGCATCATCTACATGAAAGCATTGATGTCAGTGAGACTGACAGTGTTTATATGAAAACCCTGCTATGTGCTGTGAAAATATTTGTCAGAAGGAAATACAGACGCAGTGGTGACAATCGCAAAACCATTTCCTGGATGATTGGTTGCTGGGTCCATAGGCAACATGGAATGGTGGACCCTCTACAATTTTATAATTACTCATTTAGAGAAACACAGCCATCCCATGTATCAGTAGTATTTGGGATCAGAAAACAAGAGATTGTCCGAGTTCTCCTGTGCGTGTATATACCGGTAGTAGTTTTAGAACCCCTAGCTGGCAATATTTCTCACACTTCACCTTTATGTTTATTATAGTACATAACATTTTAGGTTAGTGTAAGTGTCAGGCTAGTGCAGAGGTGAATGGCTTATGTTAGGGTCCTGTACAGGTTGATGTTTAGTGTTTTATTGTAGGGGTTAATGTGTAATGTAGTGGTTAATGGTTAGTGTAGTGTAGGGATTAATGTGTAGTTTAATAAATTATGGTAATTAAGTGATTTTGCTAAAGTCTTTACAGAAAGGGCAGCAATGGGATGCAAATGTTCCTGTGCTGTGTGAGATTAGGGGGAGTTATAGTCCTGGGTGCCAGCTATTTCAGCTGCCGCCATTAAAATGGCAGCAGATGCCTTTTGTGGGTGTAATTCCCTCAAATCTTGGACAAACTGGGACAATGTGCCTGAGATTAGAGCCCACAGACTGCACAGTATTGACCCATTGAATTGTTCACTATTCATGATTTTATAATGTGGAATAATTTCATGTATGATATCATCATCCTTGCAGTGTGGTGTGTATATACATACATTCATGTACACATGCATATCCATGTTGCCTTGCAGAGACACAAATGTGTCATCGCAGTGTTTCTTTGTCACTGCTATCTGTCTTCCACACACTGCTTTTCCAGGCAAATGTGGCAAACACATATGTGGATAATATGTTACTTTAAGAGATATGAGCTAAGTGTATCTGTTTGGCATGTAGAACTGTCTGTATTGCTTTACACTGAGTCCGCACATGCCTTCCCTGGACGGTTTAACACAACACAGAGTTGCTATGGGAAGCTGCAGGGAGCCTGCACTAAGCTGGGGAGCAGTTTATTGGGAAATAAGAAACTGTGAATTACACGGATGTCTGCCAGGGGAGGTAGAGTGGCACATTTGTAGTCTGCTCTTGTGCAGACCACAAGTTCATACAGAGGTGAAATCATTTTATTACATAAAGCTGTGATATAGATTATACCTTACTGTATTCATCTGACTGCTGTCTGATACCTGATTCCAGACTCCTTCATGTGCCTTATGGTGGAAATTTGCCATTACACGTAAAATGTTCACAATTAATGACTCATATGAAGTCAATGAATTCGAATAACCGGAATCCTCGATTTATAAAGTGCAGTATTTCCTTTTCTACCAACCTGTAACGCACTACAACACCACTGCCAACATTATCAACATCAACTAATATTACAATTTCCATTTTGACCTCTTTATTCATAATAGACCTATGTGTATCTAAAAAATGAATCCGTCATAAATTGCTACAATGTTCCTAGGTTGTGTTAACAAAGGAAGATTTACTTGTTATTAAAAAATTACGTAACATTTCACCTTAATATTGCTGCTATTACGTATCCTTGCATTCAAATAAACCCAGTCGTTGCATATGCAGTGTGCAAATTGTTAGAGGACATATTGTACGTCTGTTCAGGTGGCCATGTAGACATGCCTTAAACTGACAGGCAATAGGCCATTCCTCCTCCTTCCCATCTTATGCCTGTCCTTGATCCTACAGGCCACCCATACTAATGAGGTATGGCACTTGTGCACTGGTGGTGCTTAATTCACTTGTGGGTGACAGGTTTGCCTTGAGCAGATCATGTTTTTTTTTCAATCTTGTGAAATACCTCATATTACTGCATCACGAGGACATACATGAAGTAGTGTGAGTTACGCTCCCAGATGGACGCTCCTTTTTGCAGCTGTTACTATTATTTGAGCCCATCACCCACTAATGATATGCCAAGATTTGTTTTCTTCCAGGTTTCAAAATGATGTACAGAGACAGTGCCATTCTGTCTTCTCACCTCCTTTGCTGCATATCACTATCAGTAGAGGAGCTGAGATAAGGGCATCATCCACAAATAAACACCCAAATACATGATCCAGTGCTGTCTTAAGATTAAAGAACCCTAATAATAGCTTGTTATATATCTATCACCTTTAGTTAATATTTTTTAAAAGCTTTTCAAACCATTTAATATTTTTGGATAAATGTATCCAAAAATATTAACCCATTTGAAAATCTTATCCAAAAATATTAAATTAAGTCCTATGTCACCTATGTAATTTATGTGTGTATATCATAGTCAGTACACCGATCTGCACACACCACTCAAGCCATAATACTTGCTTTTCCCACAGAAATCTCACATTTGCAGTGCTGTTACTACTGCAAGGGATTCTGGGTGGACATATGCAAAGGAGTTTAAAAAAGAGCCACATTTGTACCCTTAATATTCCACTTTATACATGGATTTCTTGGAGTTTATGTTTGCTGAATACAACAGCTTTGAAACACAAATCAGGAAGAGATACAAAGCCAAATAACCACTCGTGGAAAGCCTTTTTTTTATTGTTGATACATGTCATCAGCATGAGGTTGGTTACTGGCTTGCTATTGAGGCCTGGCGTTACTTGCAGAGCACAAACCAAGAAAGTTTTGGTAGGGAAAAATGTGATTGAAAACACAGGCAAAAGGGTGGTTCTTTGTTGAATTCATTTTCATATGCCTACCCAGAATCCCTTAGTAGTAACAGTAGTAACAGCACTGCAAACCAAGAAATCCAATGGCTATGGGGTTATAGTGGACTGCTTTTCATGCTTTTTCTTTGGACTTTTTCCCCCACAAGTAATACTAACGTAATACTACTTATTTAACCAGAATTTGTGGGAAAAATTTTTTTACACATAAATAGCCAAACTACAAAAAACCCCCCCTCCAACTAAACTATTTTCTCATCAGTTATTTTCTCAACAAGACATTTTTCACAAAGTTATGTTTTTGCAATTATGGATTCAGTAAATAAATCCCATCATCACTTAAAAGGGGTGCTCTATGTCGCATATAATACTTGCAGTCAAGAGACTAACAGTGTAGTCACTTGGCTGTCAAGGTAATGTTTAGAGAGATTTAGAATGAAAATTTCCTCTCTAAGCCCCATCTGGCGTCTTTGTCGTTCCAATTTAATACCGAAGGAGCATTCACTCTGTATGATCATCATTATTTCCAAAGGGTCAAAACAACATTTTTCTGTCCTAAATCTTTATAATTAAAATAAGTTAAAACAAAGGTTTGTTGAGTATTATTAGAATGTCCAACATGGACATATTATAATAAAATATCCTTCAGATTTCTCAAAATTACACTTAAAATTAAACTTAAAGCACGGCACTGTCATGCCGAACTTACTGTGAAATTCAGTAAACAGAAAACCACAGGTTCTTCACACAAGAGTTGAATAAGCAGATTCCTTTATTGCTTGTGCAAAAGGAGAGTGTCAAATAAGACTGCCCTCCCTCTATATGAAAAACACATAACTTATATACAGTTAAACAACACAGCTTACGTGCCAGAAACAGCATAGTGACAAAAGATCAGTATCTTGATGTATGCAATAAAAACACAGTACCCTGTAATTAGTTGCATCTAAACCTACTTATCCTGCTATGGTCAGTTCAGTCTACTTTTGAATCAATCACTTCTGACCATTCACCCTAATGTGATAACCCACCTTTACCTATTTATATTCTGATCATTGAATAGATATACCAGTTTCTTGTAAAATTACTTGGAGCAAAGACATGTTCATACTTAACCCTTCAAGCACACAAAGTCACACAGAGAGCAAACATGGCTGATATAAGAATAATATGGCGGCTGAGGAGCTAAGACACTTTCTCAACATTCAAATGACCTTAACCTAATTGCGTCCTCTTCTCTTCCTCGCTCAGGATCTGTTCTTTTATTCCTATCTGATCTAGTTTTCTTTAAAACATAAGACAAACTTGTCTGGATCTCGTTATAACAAACAATGTTAATCTTTTGACAAACATTAAAGTAGGGGAGCATTTGGGAAATAGTGATCACAATATTGTAATTTTTGAAATAAACTCAAAAAATCAAAAGCACGTGGGGTATACTAAAACGTTTAATTGTAAAAAAAAAACTAATTTAAATAAGATTAGGGCAGCTCTACAACATATTGACTGGCATAAACTCCTTAGTGGAAAAAACACAGAGGATAAATGGAAACTATTCAAACAAATATTAGAAAGGTACATTTCTCAGTATGTACCATTAGGTAATAAATATAAAAGAAACAAATGAAA